GTAATTTGTGGTGAGAACCATCACTTGTAAAATGACTTCCGGTGACTTTCAGTGTGAACTTCCTGTTTGCTCACTTCCTGTGTTTGTATGTTCCCACCCTCAGTCTGACAAACACACACACGTTTGTTCCTCTATCCCCGTGGGGACCTCTCGTTCACATTATGCATTCTCTAACCTGAACCCTAAAACCAAGTCTGGACCCTGAAGCTCGTCCTCATGGTGACACAAGTCCCCATCAAGTTATTTTGCATTCAGGTCCCCCTGAGAAATAAGAACATGAAACACACACGATTCTCTAAGTTACGCCCTACGCTGCGCCCTAGCATTGTTGACGTGGCGGGTGACATCGCCGGGTTAAACGCCACTTTGGTGGACAGGGAAAACGGAAAGACACGTGTAGTACGGTAAGCGTATTTTGGCGATCGGCGTCTCACACACAGCCAGCAGTCAGCTGACTGACCGTTCCAGAAGGAGTCCAGTCTGTCCTGAGCCAGAGCATCGGGGGGGGGCTTGTCGGTCAGACGCCAGAGGCGTCACTCTGTTTTATTTTCATTGGCCAACTCTTGTGTTGAACCTCAAACTGAGTGTTTTTGTTTGTTTGCTCGCTGGATCCAGAAAAGAGGTTTGTGCTGTGACTCATTCATTGGTGGTTGAACTGTGCGTTTTGCACTGAGCGCTCTCTGAACAACACGCTGAGCTGAACTTTGTGTTTCTTGTGGTCTGTAGGCCGACCTGATGAAATGAGTATAATTTGATGCTGCCAACATAATAATAATTCATGCAGCACCTAATTTCCTCCTAACACAGGCCGGACCCACAGGAAACAACAGTGCATGTTTAATATCAATCCCTACCAAGCCGACCAATCACAGTCCTTGTGCTCTGCGTCGCCGCGACGTGTGCTTACGTTTTGGAGGGAATGCTAACACCTGCTGTCAGCACGCTGATGTTTGCTCACAGCACCGCTGCGGGCTCTGAGCATCAGGAAGTGATGTGCGGTGGATGGGCGGGCGCCACCGAGCGCGCTCAGCTCGTCGGCAGCTGCAGAGCCCGATTTGTTGTTGTCACTCGATCCTGCCGGCTAATGAAAGTCTCGGGTTTGATCTTACAGACTGAGTGTGTCTGTCTCTCTCTGACACGTGACCTTTAACCTGTGACCCCGGGACAATCTGTCTGCTGTCTCCGTGAGTCCTCGGGCCGAGCGCAGAACAAAGTAGGTGACGACGGTTTGATTCCAGGGGTCGGAGGTCACTTCCTCTGTTACTCCATTCTTCTTCTCCGGCTCGCTGCCTTCTTCTGTTTCCATCTTCTTCTCTTGTTTCCTCCGATGATCTTTCTGTTTGGGCAGATTTGGTCAAACCGGCGTTCTCGTCTTCCTCTGATGTGTTAGAGATATTTTTCTGGCAGAAAACCAGATCTGTGAAGCTGCAGAAGAAACCAGCGGCACCGTATTTGATTAAAATGACCTTCAGCTCTACACGTCACTAACGGCTGCTGATGGAAATGAAAGATTTAATTTAAAGCTGATGCCACACAAGACGAATTTCCCAACACCAAATGCTTTTATCAGAAATGTCTAACGTTTCATTTTCTTAGGTGTGTTTGTGCTGCTGAGGAAGAGAGAGGCCAAGCTGGCAGAGTTGGAGCTTCGGCGGCTCTGAGACACTTTGAATGTTCCTTCTTCTGCTTGCTAAATGTATTGAAAGCCTTTTTATTGAATTCAGCTTAGCTTAGCACAAAGACTGGAAGCGAGAGGAAACTGCTAGCCTAGCTCCGTCTAAAGAGAACAAAAAACAGCCGTCAGAAAATAAAACGGACTCATTTTTACAAAGGGTTTGGTGTGTGGCTCCTGTGAAAACTGACGGATTATTATTTTAAATACGCTTTCATACGATTTCTGTCAGAAAGTGAGAAGCATTCGCCGTCTGCTGCAGTGTCCTACTTTAACGTCTCCTCCCTCGCTCTGCTGCCGAGTGTGACGGAGTGTGAGTGTGTGTGAGTGTGTCTTGGTGAAACAGGATTGTGTAACTGTGGGTTCTGTTGTGAGTCAGACCTGCTGCCTCATCAGTGTGTGTGTGAGTGTGTATCTGCGTGTGTGTGTGTGTGTGAGGCTCGTCAGCTCTAATTAAGCTCGGCTGCTTAACGAGCAGGCAGCTAATTAACACACTGAGAGAACTACACACACTCCTCCTTCATCGCTCGCTCGGCTTCCCTCGTCTTTGTTTTTATCTTCCGTTTTTTCTTTAATTCCCATTTTGGTTCCTCACTTGTTTCCTTTCTGACCTCCTTTTTCCTTCCTCCTCTCTTTCCTTCTCTCCCGTTCTCCTCATCTCCTCCCCTTTGTTTCTTTCCTTCCTTCTTTTCTTTTATTCCCTGCTTTCTTAATTTCTTTCCTTCCCACCACCTCTGCTTGCTTCCTTTCCTTTCTGTTTTCCCTGCATTACATCCTTCCTTCTCTCCATTCCTCTCTCCCATTCAGCTCCTCTCATTCTCTCCTTCCTTCCTTCCTTCTCCTCGGTCCCACCTCCTTCCTTCCTTCCTTCCTTCCTTCCTTCCTTGTCATTTTCTCCTTCCTTCTCTCCTCATGCCCCCCCTCTCTTTCTACGCCCCCCTCCCTCCTCCTCTTCCTCTTCCTCTGGTGTTTTTCTGGGTCAGACACGGAGGGAGGCGGGAGGTTTTGGGGAGATTTGGGGAATCTTATTTTAGTCGCTCCACATTTTCAAACAGACTGCTCGTCTCCTCATCAGCCCTCTGCTGTATTTAACATCACACTCACACAGATATACACTCACCATTACCACCATGATCACTATCATCATCATCATCACCACCATCATTATCACCAACATCACCATCAATACCTCAATATCACCATCACCACTATCATTTCCAACATTATCACCATCAATATCATTTCCAACATTATCACCGCCATCATCATCACCGCCATCATCATCACCGTCATCATCATCATCATCATCATCACCATCATTATCATCATCACCACCACCATTATCATCATCATCACCAACATTATCACCACCATCATCACAGATACACTCACCATCATTATCACCAACATTATTATCACCATGACCACTATAATTTCCAACATGATCACCACCATCATTATCACCAACATTATCACCATCATCATTATGATCATCACCATTATCACCACCATTATCACCACCATCGTCGTCATCATTATCACCACCATCGTCGTCATCATTATCACCACCATCGTCGTCATCATTATCACCAACATTATCACCACCATCATCACAGATACACTCACCATCATTATCACCAACATTATTATCACCATGACCACTATAATTTCCAACATGATCACCACCATCATTATCACCAACATTATCACCACCATCATTATGATCATCATCACAGCATCATCACCATTATCACCACCATTATCACCACCATCGTCGTCATCATTATCACCAACATTATTATCACCATGACCACTATAATTTCCAACATGATCAACACCATCATTATCACCAACATTATTATCACCATGACCACTATAATTTCCAACATGATCACCACCATCGTCATCATCATTATCACCAACATTATCACCAACATTATCACCACCATCATTATGATCATCACCACAGCATCATCACCATTATCACCACCATTATCACCACCATTATCACCACCATCGTCGTCATCATTATCACCACCATCGTCGTCATCATTATCACCACCATCGTCGTCATCATTATCACCAACATTATCACCACCATCATCACAGATACACTCACCATCATTATCACCAACATTATTATCACCATGACCACTATAATTTCCAACATGATCACCACCATCATTATCACCAACATTATCACCACCATCATTATGATCATCATCACAGCATCATCACCATTATCACCACCATTATCACCACCATCGTCGTCATCATTATCACCAACATTATTATCACCATGACCACTATAATTTCCAACATGATCAACACCATCATTATCACCAACATTATTATCACCATGACCACTATAATTTCCAACATGATCACCACCATCGTCATCATCATTATCACCAACATTATCACCACCATCATTATGATCATCACCACAGCATCATCACCATTATCACCACCATTATCACCACCATCGTCGTCATCATTATCACCACCATCGTCGTCATCATTATCACCAACATTATCGCCACCATCATCACCACAGCATCATCACCATTATCACCACCATTATCACGACTATCACCACCATCATTATTATCACGATTATCATCACCATCATTTGGCACTGATTTTGATTAATTTATTTTAGCCGTTTGTTTGTTGTCTTTTACTTGCTGACCAGCAGGTGATTTAATAGTAAAAGTTTGGATGGTATTTGAAGTTTGACATGATTTGGTCATTTCCATTAACTTTTGTAAAAATGTGTTTTTGCTAGAAAGAAGGAAACTAAATTTGCAGGCTCAGAGAGGAAGTCTTGTGTCTGGCTTTGGAAATGAAACTTTACTTCATCAGAAGAAAAGAACCCCTAACGGCTCCAAAGCTGGTTTATATGTTGTATTTACATGTTTATTGAACAGGTGGAGAAACAGAAATGTCTGACGGCAGCAGTTCGTGTTGGAGCTGTTTGTCCTCACTATGAAACTCACCTTTACCTTTAAAAGAGGGCTTCCCTTTGAAGGCACGCCGGTATCACACAAGCCAAACTCTCCAGAACACTAAAGCCGTTCATAAATGCATGTGAAGTTTTATATTCCGAGGTCGTTTTTCACCAGTAATCAATAAAGAAAGTAGATTTACAGATTTGGAAAGGACGTCTTGTGGTCTCTCTGGTTTTGAAAATAAAGTGAGCTCTGTGATTAAATGTATATTAATGCTGGTTTCTGCGTGATCCTCCATCATGTTAGCATTTCTCCATCTGCTTTCAGCGTGTTCTGTTAGCATCAGGCTAACATGTTGATCCGTTTGTGTGTTTCAGATCCGGGTGGATGGAATCCCACCGCCGGCCCAGAATGCTTTGCTGTATGAGACTGTGACGGTGGTGGAAGGGAAGCCGATCCTGAGAGACATGGTGTTCAGTCCGGACCATCAGTACATCTACCTGCTGAGTGACAGACAGGTAAAACACACCCACACCGTGTCCTCTGTGTCTCTGCTCAGTTTGTGTTTATGAAGTCCATCCAAACACTCGGATGACCTGATGGAGGCGCTACATTAACCTGTTCACTGTGTTCTCACCATCCTTAAGCACAAAAGTCTGGATGTTTCCACCGCTCAGACTTAGATTAGAAAAATTACAATGGAAGTTCTGACTTGTTTTTTTTTATCCAAGAAGAAAAGAGTTGTTGAGTTAAATCTGCAGATTTCTAATACAAATTCTGACTAATGACTTTAGACAATAATCTCTGCATCAAAGGACAGTTAAATCTGCAGATTTCCAATGGAAGTTCTGCATTAGGTTTTTCAATAGATACAGAAAACAAAGAAGTTTTCTGTATAAGTTCTGTAACAATAAGAGTTTTAACTTGGGACACACACACAGTAAGTCAGTGGCTCTGCAGTTATTTATAAGGGAGGCTGAGTGTGTGTGTGTGTGTGTGTGTGTTTGAATGTGAATTCTGTTGTTTTACCATCTGCAGACAGGAAGTTGTGAACGTGAATATTGCTCAGCTGGCGCCGCTGCGTGTCCCATGTTAAAACTCTTAATGTACCGCTGAGAGGAAGCAGAGCTGAGTTCAACAACTGTGACTTCCTGTGCAGCTGACGACACACAGAAATATGCTCGTATTCAGATTTTATTTGTTGATTATTTAGAAATTCTTCGTGTGTCTTGGGCCTGATGTCAGAGCACAGCTGCTGAGTTCAGCTGGCTGCCAGTGAGACTCTGATGTCTCTGATCCTGCAGCACTAATCATGGAACAAACAAACACATCTCCATAAACTGCAACTGTTTGAGTGGAAAATAACATTTGTAAAATCAGATTTCCTCCTGGAGTGTCCACAAACTTTTGGCCGTGTTGTGTAGCAACTTCTTAACCAGCAGATTTCCAGAGGAAGTTCTGACTTTGGACAAACAAAATAATCTCTTCATAAAAGAAAACTTTAAAAAGTTGAATCAGCATTGTGATATGATCACATGATCCCAAACACGGTGTGCCTAAATGTGACTTCATCACACGTGAAACAAGTTTTGTAATTGATGTTTTCACATCAATAAATACATTTCACATATAAAATATATGAAGGCGAGTACTTGTATGTGAGGGGTTTCTGTAAGCAGATTGTCTGCAGTTTGAACTTGATGCGTCAGAGGAGAAACTGCATGAGAACAAAATCTGTAGAATCAGCTGGTTTTTAAATGAAGTCTGGCAGAGAGAAGCAGCGTCACTGTTTCTTTAAGAAAAACCTGATAATAAGGTCAGAGAGGGGACAGCACTCCCTGCGTGAGACAATGAATGTATTCATGTGTGAACATCTGAATGAGACGGAGACAAAGTGTCCGCTGTGTTTACTGTCTCTCTGCTGCAATGACTTCTGGGTAAAAGACACCACACACACACATTCACACACTGACTGACTGTCTGCAAAATCAAGACAAATGTGTTACACACAGGCCTCAGGCTGTTACTGTCAGCGGGAAACCACCAAACCACACTGAGATAACACACACACACACACACGTTCAACCAATCAGTCAACTCCAAGTCAGTGTAACGTTGCGGTCAATAATAATAATACATTGATAATCAATTAAAGGCTTATAAATATCCATCATGTTTTCTGTTTAAAGTATCAGACAGCAAACGCATCTCTATCTCAGGGGTTCAAAGGGGAATCATTCATTTTCTCTATAAGGAGCACGATGAGAGACAGTTTGGTCTCAGGTTTCATGAACGTTCTTTAACAAATGAATCATCTAACAGCTAAAATCCTTTCAGATGGACGACCATGTGACAAAAACTCATCATCCTGGGGTCTAATTTGTGTCCATTTAGAGGGAAAAACAAAACAAAAGCAAATAAACCCGGCTGTTCTCATCTGCTGCCGCACGCCATCAGAGCAGCGGCGTCCCTTCCTCTGACCTCTGACATGCACTTCCTGTGCACGTCTGAAACCACGCAGCTGTCAGACGGCCGCGTTAACACAATGCTGGATCTGTGTTTCAGGTGACCAGGCTTCCCGTGGAGAGCTGCGAGCAGTACGGCAGCTGCTCCGGCTGCCTGGGGTCAGGAGACCCTCACTGCGGGTGGTGTGTCCTCTTCAACAAGTGAGAGCTCCTCTTTATCTCTGTGGTGTGATGTAGCTCTAGCTACACATTAGTAGTTGTTGTTGGTAAAGTACTTGTCTGTTCGAGGATGTACAGCAGTTGATAAACAGTAAAACTACAGCGTGAACTTCATGACGGTCTCCGTCAGACACCGGGAGGCAGCGTGTCCTTTAGAGGTGGACCGAGTGGCGGTGGGGAGGTTCGGTGGTGCAGGCGGGATGGAAGAGACCGTCGGGTCAGGTGAGGGGGATATTAGCGTCTAATGGCCTGCAGCTTTAATCCCGCCTCTTCTCTCTGGTGATGTTGTGTGGGGGGTTTCAGCCTCTGAGCGTACAGCTCCAGGTGAGTCGGGCCAAAGTTCAGCTTCATCGAGCGCCGTTAGCCGTTTAGAGTACAGCGGCCGTCGGATGGTCGGTTTACAGTCCGACCAGTAAAATGTAGCCAGCAGCCTGCATCACTGCTGCTGTGGTCGTTTCCCCTTCAGACTGGATGTTAGGATGAGACAAGGAGGCAGAAGTCTCACCACAGATCCACAGACATGTGAACTTCTGATAAAGAGCAGAACTCTCTGAAAACCCAGAGCGGGTTCACGTCATTACTATCATGGCGTACGCCGGTGTCTCATCAGCTGGGCGGAGTTGATTCACACAGAGTCAACATCATTAGTTAAACATCTGCTTTCCACTGCTGCTGCATTCAGGGGCTGCTGCATTCAGGGGCTGCTGCTGCTGCATTCAGGGGCTGCTGCTGCTGCATTCAGGGGCTGCTGCATTCAGGGGCTGCTGCATTCAGGGGCTGCTGCATTCAGGGGCTGCTGCTGCTGCATTCAGGGGCTGCTGCATTCAGGGGCTGCTGCTGCTGCATTCAGGGGCTGCTGCATTCAGGGGCTGCTGCTGCTGCATTCAGGGGCTGCTGCATTCAGGGGCTGCTGCATTCAGGGGCTGCTGCATTCAGGGGCTGCTGCATTCAGGGGCTGCGGCTGCTGCATTCAGGGGCTGCGGCTGCTGCATTCAGGGGCTGCTGCATTCAGGGGCTGCTGCATTCAGGGGCTGCTGCTGCATTCAGGGGCTGCTGCATTCAGGGGCTGCTGCATTCAGGGGCTGCTGCATTCAGGGGCTGCTGCATTCAGGGGCTGCTGCAGCTGCATTCAGGGGCTGCTGCATTCAGGGGCTGCTGTAAAAGTTGCAACATCTTAAAGTAAAGTACAGAAAGAAAGTATTTGCACTTCATGCCTGCGTTGGAGAGTCTGGTCAGTGCTGCACCTCTGCTGAAGTTCACCTGCAGCTGGTTCCACATCTGGAGCAGAGACCGAACCAGCAGGCAGCAGGGAACCAACGTGGCGTCACGCATGTTCAGCCGTCCACAAACTCCTGACCGCGAAGAGGAACTGAGGCTGCAGGAGAAAAGATATAAACAAAGATAAAGAACATTTCCCATCATGCCGTGTGTGTGTGTGTTCCCATGAGGCGTCATTAATGTTTCTATAAATGGTTCACACACACACGTTGGCATCACCAGAAGTGTTTGATGTTCCGCGTCCAGGCAGGAAGTTCCTCTCTGGATAACCGCCAGTTTGTTCCCCCTTCAAAGTAAAAGCCTGTGACTGCCAAAGTAAAAGCCTGGCTGTTCCAGACGTGGTGCGGTGGCTCAGGCTGACCTCATCGTGAAGACTCGATAATGTAAACCATCTAATATTGATCCTGGATCGGCGGGGGCGGCGCTGAGCATGTGCTCAGTCTGCAGTCCTGTCAGTCTCTGGCAGCGCTGAAAGATCATTAAATGGCATAAAATGTTCAGATCTGATCCAATAAAATCAAACCGTGTGATTATTGGCTGCTTCTGTTGTCATAGCAACACACAGAGTAGCCGACAGACGGACAGGTGGTCTCTACCTGTCGCTCTGCTTCCTCGTCCTGTCTCCATCTGTTGTTCTTAACATTATTATTTAGATTCTGTTTGAGGGGAAATGCTTTTAAAACTAAAGACGTGAGAGGCGGCGGCGGCGGTTAGCTTTTCGCCTTACACAAAGAATGGATTAATGTTAAAACTCATCTTAGTGTATTTGTTCTTAAGACGTGAAGATAATCTGCAGCAGAGGAGAACCGGGCCGACATGCGTCCAACACTCGTTCCCGAGGCGGGTCTGAACACAGTATTGGTCCTGTAGCGTGACGGCTTCACAGACCGTATAAAGAAGTGGGCGTGGCCGCCGTGACGTCCCCGCTGGTTTGTGGACCACTGTTTTGAAGCCTCCACTTTGGCATTTTGGCCATCTTGTCTTTTTGGAACCGGACGTGACCATATTTGGATGAGGGGGCGGAGCTAGCTAGCTTGGTTAGCTAACTCACGTTAGCTGTGATATTAGGCCTCCCCTGCTTCCTGGTCTCTGTTCCTCTAAATAATAATTAATAAGAACTTATTATTAATGACGAATGAAATAAAAATAAAGTGATTGATCACCACCTCGCGGTGACCTTTGACCCCTCCAGGTGTTCCAGACAGGAAGCGTGTGACAAGTGGGAGGAGTCTCAGCACTTCAACACCCGGCTGGACCAGTGTGTCGACATCTCCGTTACCCCGAGCAACATGTCTGTCACCTCCCCGGCAACACAGGTACGCACACACACGGGTGACGTATTGATTGACAGCCGGGTGGACCAGTCGCTTTGTGTGCCGGCAGCAGGTAAACACTGGTGATGTCACACGCACCTGCCCTCATGTATGACCCCTCTCTCTCTCCGCAGTTGACCATTCGTGTGCAGAACGTGCCGGCGCTGTCAGGGGGCGTGTCCTGCGTGTTCGAGGACCTGAGTGAAACCCCAGGAGAGGTGCAGGCTAAAGGTCAGGTGACCTGTCTGTCCCCGTCACTGAGAGACCTGCCGACGCCCACACACACCTACGGTACTGAGTACTGTATCAGGGTACTGAATACTGTATCAGGGTACTGGGTACTGTATCAGGGTACTGTATCAGGGTACTGAATACTGTATCAGGGTACTGAATACTGTATCAGGGTACTGGGTACTGTATCAGAGTACTGTATCAGGGTACTGGGTACTGAGTACTGTATCAGGGTACTGGGTACTGTATCAGAGTACTGTATCAGGGTACTGGGTACTGTATCAGGGTACTGGGTACTGTATCAGAGTACTGTATCAGGGTAATGTATCAGGGTACTGGGTACTGTATCAGAGTACTGTATCAGGGTACTGAGTACTGTATCAGGGTACTGTATCAGGGTACTGAGTACTGTATCAGGGTACTGGGTACTGTATCAGAGTACTGGGTACTGTATCAGGGTACTGTATCTGGGTACTGTATCAGGGTACTGGGTACTGTATCAGGGTACTGGGTACTGTATCAGGGTACTGGGTACTGTATCAGGGTACTGTATCTGGGTACTGTATCAGGGTACTGGGTACTGTATCAGAGTACTGTATCAGGGTACTGTATCAGAGTACTGAGTACTGTATCAGGGTACTGTATCTGGGTACTGTATCAGGGTACTGGGTACTGTATCAGAGTACTGGGTACTGTATCAGGGTACTGAGTACTGTATCAGAGTACTGTATCAGGGTACTGAGTACTGTATGAGGGTACTGTATCAGGGTACTGAGTACTGTATCAGAGTACTGAGTACTGTCTCAGAGTACTGTATCAGGGTACTGAGTACTGTATCAGGGTACTGTATCAGAGTACTGGGTACTGTATCAAGGTACTGTATCTGGGTACTGTATCGGGGTACTGGGTACTGTATCAGAGTACTGTATCAGGGTACTGAGTACTGTATCAGAGTACTGTATCAGGGTACTGAGTACTGTATCAGGGTACTGTATCAGGGTACTGAGTACTGTATCAGAGTACTGAGTACTGTCTCAGAGTACTGTATCAGGGTACTGAGTACTGTATCAGGGTACTGTCTCAGGGTACTGAGTGCTGTATCAGGGTACTGTATCAGAGTACTGACTACTGTATCAGAGTACTGAGTACTGTCGCAGAGTACTGAGTACTGTATCAGGGTACTGTCTCAGGGTACTGAGTGCTGTATCAGGGTACTGTATCAGAGTACTGACTACTGTATCAGAGTACTGAGTACTGTCGCAGAGTACTGAGTACTGTCTCAGGGTACTGTATCAGGGTACTGAGTGCTGTATCAGGGTACTGGGTACTGTATCAGGGTACTGTATCAGGGTACTGGGTACTGTATCAGGGTACTGAGTACTGTATCAGGGTACTGAGTACTGTATCAGGGTACTGTATCAGGGTACTGTATCAGGGTACTGAGTACTGTATCAGGGTACTGTATCAGAGTACTGACTACTGTATCAGAGTACTGTCGCAGAGTACTGAGTACTGTATCAGGGTACTGAGTGCTGTATCAGGGTACTGGGTACTGTATCAGGGTACTGGGTACTGTATCAGGGTACTGTATCAGGGTACTGAGTACTGTATCAGGGTACTGTATCAGGGTACTGAGTACTGTATCAGGGTACTGTATCAGGGTACTGTATCAGAGTACTGAGTACTGTCTCAGAGTACTGAATACTGTCTCAGGGTACTATATCAGGGTACTGAGTACTGTATCAGGGTACTGTATCAGGGTACTGAGTACTGTATCAGGGTACTGTATCAGGGTACTTAGTACTGTATCAGGGTACTGAGTACTGTATCAGGGTACTGTATCAGGGTAGTGAGTACTGTATCAGAGTACTGAGTACTGTATCAGGGTACTGTATCAGGGTACTGTATCAGGGTACTGAGTACTGTATCAGGGTACTGAGTACTGTATCAGAGTACTGTATCAGGGTACTGAGTACTGTATCAGGGTACTGAGTACTGTATCAGGGCACTGAGTACTGTATCAGAGTACTGTATCAGGGTACTGAGTACTGTATCAGGGTACTGAGTACTGTATCAGAGTACTGAGTACTGTATCAGGGCACTGAGTACTGTATCAGAGTACTGTATCAGGGTACTGAGTACTGTATCAGGGTACTGAGTACTGTATCATGTATCAGGGTACTGAGTACTGTATCAGGGCACTGAGTACTGTATCAGAGTACTGTATCAGGGTACTGAGTACTGTATCAGGGTACTGAGTACTGTATCAGGGTACTGAGTACTGTATCAGCGTACTGAGTACTGTATCAGGGTACTGTATCAGGGTACTGAGTACTGTATCAGGGTACTGAGTACTGTATCAGAGTACTGTATCAGGGTACGGAGTACTGTATCAGGGTACTGAGTACTGTCTTAGGGTACTGAGTACTGTCTCAGGGTACTGAGTACTGTATCAGGGTACTGTATCAGGGTACTGAGTACTGTATCAGAGTACTGAGTACTGTCTCAGGGTACTGTATCAGAGTACTGAGTACTGTATCAGAGTACTGTATCAGAGTACTGAGTACTGTCTCAGGGTACTGTATCAGAGTACTGAGTACTGTATCAGAGTACTGTATCAGGGTACTGAGTACTGTATCAGGGTACTGTATCAGAGTACTGAGTACTGTCTCAGAGTACTGACTACTGTCTCAGGGTACTGTATCAGGGTACTGAGTACTGTCTCAGAGTACTGAGTACTGTCTCAGGGTACTTTATCAGGGTACTGTATCAGAGTGTGAGTACTGTATCAGAGTACTGTATCAGGGTACTGAGTACTGTATCAGGGTACTGTATCAGAGTACTGAGTACTGTCTCAGAGTACTGACTACTGTCTCAGGGTACTGTATCAGGGTACTGAGTACTGTCTCAGAGTACTGAGTACTGTCTCAGGGTACTTTATCAGGGTACTGTGAGTAACGTTACCTCGTTCCCTTCAGGAGAGAAGCGAGAGGTCCAGCTGAGTCTACGTTCCTCAGAGACCGGACTCCAGTTCATCAGCACCAGCTTCATCTACTACAACTGCTCTGTGCTCAACTCGTGAGTCTGAACCCGTCTCCTCTCTCGTCTCCTCTCCTGTCTCCTCTCCTGTCTCCTCTTCTGTCTCCTCTCCTGTCTCCTCTTCTGTCTCCTCTCTCGTCTCCTCTCCTGTCTCCTCTCCTGTCTCCTCTCTCGTCTCCTCTCTCGTCTCCTCTCCTGTCTCCTCTCCTGTCTCCTCTCCTGTCTCCTCTCCTCTCCTCCCTTGTCTCCTCTCTCGTCTCCTCTCTTCTCCTCCCTTGTCTCGTCTCCTCTCCTCTCCTCCCTTGTCTCCTCTCTCGTCTCCTCTTCTGTCTCCTCTCTCGTCTCCTCTCTTCTCCTCCCTTGTCTCGTCTCCTCTCCTCTCCTCCCTTGTCTCCTCTCTCGTCTCCTCTTCTGTCTCCTCTCTCGTCTCCTCTCCTGTCTCCTCTCTTGTCTCCTCTTCTGTCTCCTCTCCTGTCTCCTCTCGTCTCCTCTTCTGTCTCCTCTCTCGTCTCCTCTCCTTTCCTCCCTTGTCTCCTCTCTCGTCTCCTCTCTCGTCTCCTCTCCTCTCCTTTCCTCCCTTGTCTCCTCTCTCGTCTCCTCTCCTCTCCTCCCTTGTCTCCTCTCTCGTCTCCTCTCTCATCTCCTCTTCTGTCTCCTCTCTCGTCTCCTATCCTCTCCTCCCTTGTCTCCTCTCTTGTCTCCTCTCTCGTCTCCTCTCTCATCTCCTCTTCTGTGTCCTCTCTCGTCTCCTCTCCTCTCCTCCCTTGTCTCCTCTCTCGTCTCCTCTCCTGTCTCCTCTCTCGTCTCCTCTTCTGTCTCCTCTCCTGTCTCCTCTCTCGTCTCCTCTCCTTTCCTCCCTTGTCTCCTCTCTTGTCTCCTCTCTCATCTCCTCTTCTGTCTCCTCTCTCGTCTCCTCTCCTCTCCTCCCTTGTCTCCTCTCTCGTCTCCTCTCCTGTCTCCTCTCCTGTCTCCTCTCCTGTCTCCTCCCTTGTCTCCTCTCTTGTCTCCTCTCTTGTCTCCTCTCTCATCTCCTCTTCTGTCTCCTCTCTCGTCTCCTCTCCTGTCTCCTCTCTCGTCTCCTCTTCTGTCTCCTCTCCTGTCTCCTCTCTCGTCTCCTCTCCTTTCCTCCCTTGTCTCCTCTCTTGTCTCCTCTCTCATCTCCTCTTCTGTCTCCTCTCTCGTCTCCTCTCCTCTCCTCCCTTGTCTCCTCTCTCGTCTCCTCTCCTGTCTCCTCTCCTGTCTCCTCTCCTGTCTCCTCTCTTGTCTCCTCTTCTGTCTCCTCTCCTGTCTCCTCTCGTCTCCTCTTCTGTCTCCTCTCTCGTCTCCTCTCCTTTCCTCCCTTGTCTCCTCTCTCGTCTCCTCTCTCGTCTCCTCTCCTGTCTCCTATCTCGTCTCCTCTCCTTTCCTCCCTTGTCTCCTCTCTCGTCTCCTCTCCTCTCCTCCCTTGTCTCCTCTCTCGTCTCCTCTTCTGTCTCCTCTCTCGTCTCCTATCCTCTCCTCCCTTGTCTCCTCTCTTGTCTCCTCTCTCGTCTCCTCTCTCATCTCCTCTTCTGTGTCCTCTCTCGTCTCCTCTCCTCTCCTCCCTTGTCTCCTCTCTCGTCTCCTCTCCTGTCTCCTCTCTCGTCTCCTCTTCTGTCTCCTCTCCTGTCTCCTCTCTCGTCTCCTCTCCTTTCCTCCCTTGTCTCCTCTCTTGTCTCCTCTCTCATCTCCTCTTCTGTCTCCTCTCTCGTCTCCTCTCCTGTCCTCCTAGTCTCACAAACACAAACTCATCTCTGTGAAAACAAACGCCGCAGCCCTGATGACGTCCTGAAGGTCAGAGGGCGGCCATGTTTTCAACCTCTTCTTTCTCCCCCCCCAGGTGCACTTCCTGTGTCAGCAGTGTGTTTCCGTGTCACTGGTGTAAATATCGTCACGTCTGCACCAACAACCTGCAGGACTGCTCCTTCCAGGAGGGGCGGGTCAGCAACATGGAGGTACACGCTCGCACACTTGCACATCCATTTACTTCTGTTGATGTGAGCACAGTTTGCCCTCAGCTCTAACCTGAAGGAGCAGCTCTGCACTTATAGCTTTAGCTGACTCTCTGATAGGCGGAGGCTCCTGCCACATTACCCCGTGTTCATTATAACACTCAGACCTTCTGCTGCGTTTCCTCGCGTCCAGACTGAAACGTTGAAGTGTGAAAACGCTGCTCAGCCCGTTCTGGTTTTAAACTCCGGGGCGGCGTGTTCGTGCCGACGGGTGGAAACGATGACGCTCACGTTTGGCTTCCTGATTGGCCCTGATCAGTCGGTCGGAGCAGAAACACGATGCTGCTGACAGAGTTTTATTAAAGTATTCTGTTGTGTGTAAATAACTCTTCTACACTTGTCCTCTTAAATGTAGAAAATAAGGTTCTTCAACCACAACGCACTCTCTCTCTACTAAAATCTAATTACCGAGAATGATCAAAAGAATTTGTTAGAAAAATACACTTTGAAATATAAAATTCCTTACTGAAAACCCACAGGGACTTCCATGTTTTCCACATGTAGGAGTCGCGCTACCACATGTGTTTCACGTGTGATCCCACAGGGAATTTACATGAGTTTCACACATTACACCATGGGACTGTATATTTCACATGTGATTTTAACACATTTTCACATGTAAAATGTTTACGAGCCACATGTGGATTTTCTGTAAGTGACGTTTTTAGAATAAAATTGTTTATTTATGTTTTCATATGTTTTATTTTATGCTGTCAAACAGAGCTACTTTAGTTATTTATAGTTTTCCAGCTGTGAATCCTCAGAGAGGGTGAAGAGCAGAGATGGAGGTCAGAGCTGCTCTCGCTCCGTCATTACATGGTTCAGTAAACAAACAGTAAAGCCTCAGGTCATCGGTGAAGGACACACACACTCTCACACTCACACACACTCTCACACACTCAGTGACGATGTGGTTTAAGAATCAGAAAACAGACAGTGATCACAGTGACGGTCGGTTCAGGTGTCACCAGAGTGAACTGCAGAGTGATTACAGATCACTGAGCTGCTCTCAGGCTGCTCGTTAGCTCGTTAGCATGGGTTGCCTCGTTATTGGTGCTCGGTGTCATTGCAGGGTGACAGTAACAACCTCCGATTGGCTAATTGGGTAATGGAAGATGAATAGCCTCTTAATTGACATGAAAGCGTCCAATCACAGCAATTAATGTTAATTACCCTGCAGTTAGGCTGACGAAAGAGAGAGAGAGAGAGAGAGAGAGAGAGAGATGTGAGTCTGAGAGGAGGCAGAGACGAAGAGAAAGGCGGCTTCATTTTTGTTTCTTATCCAACCAGGTGAAGCTGAGCTGAGAGGGAGGAAGAGTTACTGTGTATTCAGACCAATCAAGGTGAATTTCCTAACGCAGGTTTTATCGCTGGACAGCTGCTCAGTGTTCACACACAACGAGAGAAGGCTCTGTCCTCGACTTCTCCCTGCAGTTTAGTAGCTCTCCGTCGACCAGCGGAGTTTTACTTCCCCGCTCTGCCTGGCCCTCTCCACACAACGCTCTGAAGCCATCGGTGATGTCCGAACAATCTCACCGCTGACAGGCTATCGCAACTCAGCGTCACGCAAATTTCTCGCTCGAGTTGGCCGGCGCAGCGCCACCTCCGCTCTGCCCGACAAGAAATTGCGGCTCTCTGCTTCTTTGCATTGACTATGTATGTAAATGCTTCGCTTTTGGTCTGAAAGCATCATTAGAGAAGGAGGTAAAGTCAGAGAGGGAGGAAGAGGAGCTGCTCTGACTGCTGAAAATGAAGAGAACCAGTGAAAAACAGTGTGACAGGTTTAAATTGAGTTGAGTTTCCTGTAACAGAGACAAGAGTTGATGGTTCTTCTTGATTTGCAGATGTATTGATACCTGATAGCTCAGGGATCTGAACTGTAGCTGTATCACTACTGATCAATAATGTGAAATGTGAGACTGAAGAGGCCTCTAAAGAAAGAGAGAGGAGATCTGATTCATCGATCAATATTCAAACAGGCCTTCTTTACTTTTAAGCCCACACGGAGGAGTTCATGAGGAAATATTTCTGTAGCGAGAAAACGTTAAAATAACTCACAGTGAGACATTAAAGCGTTATTATACACAGAACATTACACAAGGTCTGTGTGATCAATTAATAACAAAAAGTGAAACCAAGAGGCAGTTTGTAGTGTTTGGAAATAAAAACGTTTTCAGAAAGTTTAGTCTCTGAGCAGAAGGCAAGGGTTGGATTAATGTGGAGGATTTAACTTGTCGAGCAGAGACGCTGCTTCAGTGTGATAAAATGCAGTTTTATTTATACATGGTTCATAACAAAAGCATCTACAATACACTTTTCAACAGTAAAGGAAATGGTACATCAGTACAAATGAATAGTAGTATTAATAATGATCCTAAAGGCCCATTTATACTCCTGCGTAGGGTCTAGGTGCGTAGCCAGGCATTCATACTTGTGCGTCGGTGTCTGCATTTACACCCCCAAACACTAGTCGGCTGTAGCTCCACAGTGTCCACTGTGTTGACTTTTGCCGGGCGAGCAGGTTAACTTCGTGTTAGCCCTACGCTAACATGAATGGGGGTAAAATTGTAAACGTGCGGCTGGTGTAACCTTTCAAATGTTATCGACCGAGTGGATCACATTCTGATAGTGAAACGAGTCATTTCGTTCAGGTTGTGACGGTCAAATATATTGATCCACCGTGTTACAGCCGCTGTTTTGGCCGCGAGTAAAAGTTACTTCAAAGCACGGGCACTTCCTGTCGGCTCGGAGGCGTTGCAAGGCTACCCAGCCGACCAATCACAGAGCTTACAGTCCGCGTCGCCTTGACTTGTAGTTACATTTTTGAGGAGGTGCACGTTAGGCTACGGCGTAGGTGACGGCGTAGGGTACGGGGCTACGCCGTGGATTTGACGCAGAAGTATAAATTGCACTTAACTCAACAAATGAGTCAGAATGCCAGCATCAACTTCCTGTGAGCATGTAAATTAATCCTCCACATGTTGTCTATTTGTTACCTATTTACACAGAGGTTCAACACAGGCTGCTTTACATGGAGTCTTCCGATCAATTTTTGATGAGCTCTCAGAACAGTCCCCATATGGCTGCTGAAGGAGTCCCACAGGGATCAATATTAGACCCCTGCTGTTTCCTCTGTCCATGAATAACACCGGTGTCCGTTTCTACGCTGATGATAGCATCTTGTTTACCTTCAGCTGTAACACAAACCAGACCTCCTCCAGAGACAGTCGGCTTCAGACGACCCTCAGACCTGTAATCAGCTTAAACCATCAACTTCTTTTAAACACGAACAAAAATGAAACCCGTCAAAAGTGGACGTTATGCATGGCTGTGATAAACAAGAAATAGAGGTTGCAAACTGGAAACAAAACCAGCTGCATGGAACTGAGGGCCAGTGAATTTACAGACTGTACTTTCCGTCAACATTACGTTATCAGTTAATATTTAGATGATTGATGAACAAACCACAGAACAAACCTCGACAGGGAACTGTGAGGACAAAATAATCATTGATAATTTGTAATCGCGCTAAAATGTTATATAATTAATGGTGATTTTTAGGTCATATCGCCAAGCTCTAACATCAACCTTTTCTAATGCGATGCTTCAAAATGTGCATAAAGATACGGAAATACGACTAATGAAACTGAGGTGTTGTTCATGTTGGATTTTATTCTGCCTGCAGCAGCTTGTTGACACGTCTGTAGTTCTTTGTACCAGCTGGTACAGGTCAGATACTGTAGCTGTCCAGGAGGCTGGTGTGAACGGGATTCAGACTCGGGAGTTTCGGCCTGCTTCTGTTTTCATGCCGCTGCTGTCAGAAAGCAAAGGTGCGCGTGTGGCATATGGAGGTTTTGGAACGTGTCTCGTTAGAATACAAACACTTCCTGTTTGAGCCGAGTGTTTGGTCTTCTTCAGCTTGGCTTCACCTGAGATGTGTTACAGTTTCACTCATCATCAGCTTCACGTAAGAATCCTCTCTGCCGCTGTGTTGGAGCAACAGAGCTGTCACAGGTGAGCCGAGCGTTTGGATGAATGTCGAGTGTTGAGACACGCGCGCGCTGTCACGCCGTCTCCACAGCCGCTGCTGGCGTCCGCTGTGCTCTGGTCCACTTCCTGTGGAGCTAATGGTCTTCCTGTCAGTCACAAGGCAATTAATTGCCGTGGCGATGCTCGTTAATAAAGGTGTCACCCCACTGAGAGACACGGTCAGAGTGTGTGTGTGTTTCCAGCCGCCGCAGGAAGTCGGATCTGTCACCATCTGTCCTGAACACACACTGACGACAGAGTGAGACAGAGGACACACAGCCTGTTGTGGGATTTTCAGGATCTGTCCATAAAAACACATAATAACATTTCCAACAGTCATCGTCTGTTCTTAGTAACTGTGTTCTCTCTGGCTCCGCCCACCGCCAACACTCAGACCACAGGACTGGATACGGCTCTCCCTCCCAGATTGATTGACAGGTGCTAACGGGCGCTAACAGTTGGAGGGTTATTAATCATTTCTGATGCTGCCACATTTAAAGCCGCTCTAATCAATAATTCATATTAACAGAGGAGAATAAATAAGCAGCGGCTTCACAGGCGCTCGACAGGAGCCGGTGGTTTCAGAGGGTCCCAAATGGCTTCTGAAGGAGTCCCACAGGGGCCAGAATTAGGCCCCCTGCTGTTTAAATGAACTACAAGAGAAACTGTTGAATTATGAGAATATTCTGTCCTGGATGTAACTCCCCTCCTTCTCCCTCCCCCCTCTTGCCGCAGGGTTGTCCTCAGATCCTCCCCACCTCTGACATCCTGGTCCCGGCCGGGATGGTTCGTCCAATCACGCTGCGGGCTCGTAACCTCCCGCAGCCTCAGTCGGGTCAGAAGAACTACGAGTGTGTGTTCAACATCCAGGGAAAAGTCCAGCGCATCCCGGCGGTCCGCTTCAACTCGTCCTGCATCCAGTGCCAGAACACCTCGGTGAGACACACTACACTACCCAGCATGCACCGCTCCTCGGGTCACACAGGGCGTCCAGTGTTTCAGTATTCAGGCGTATGAATATCAGTACTACTAGCAGAAGTGGCAGTACTAGTAGTAGCATTAGTAGTAATAATAGTAGTGAAAGTATTACCAGTAGTCGCAGTACTAGTAGCAATATAAAAGTACATCTCCCTCCATCTCTGCGGCTGTTCTGGCGACCTTGGTGTGTGTGATGACCTGGTGGCCCCCAGGGGTCAGAGGTCAGGCTTCAGGTGGACAGCCAGTATGGATTTGTCTGACTGGGATTCAAATATCAACACACACACACACACACACAGTGTGCAGATTGATTATTGTCCTTTACTGAGACGACACTCGCCGTCCTGCATTCTGAGAACACACACACACCAACTGTTGTCCGTCTGCTCATTTCCTGTCCTTCATCTGTCTTCCTGTCGGTAAGCCCGCCCCGAAATCGCTGCGCACACACATTATGTGCTGACATACCGCCGCTACATGCAGACAGCAGCACACACACAGATGGTCAGTGTGTCTGTATTTAATTAAGTTACTATTCCCAGAGGAAATTGGCCATTTAGTACCACACACACACACACACACACACACACACACACACACACACACACAACATTCTGCACAGACTCTGTTCAGCCTTCAAAATAAAAGCACAGCATCAGGGTTCAGTCAAGAGAATTCACTCAGAGCCACTAAATGAGTGAACACGCATGGTCGCTGCGTGGTCGCTGCGTGGTCGCTGCCGCTGCGTGGTCCCTGCGTGGTCGCTCAGGAAGAGTTCTTGCTTTCAGACACGCTCAGATGAACATGAGTCAGGGCCTGGTTAGCCTTGCTTCGCATAAAGACTGGGAACGGGGGGAACAGCTAGCCTGGCTCTGCCTCGGCTGGATGGATGATCATGTGATGAAGTCCACAGGTGGAAGCAGAGAGCTGAGGGATGAAGGCCTGATGTGAACAGACAGAGGATAATAAAACCTCTTCAGTCACTCCATCTTTGCCTGCAGTTGTTTCTTTCCTTTCTCATCCCTACTTCATTATTTCTCTCTCTCGTCTTTTTTTTCCTCTTCACACACAGTATTAGATAAAGAAGATGAATAATATTTCATCACCTTCTGGTGAATCCAGTGTAGTTCTCCTGGGGTCTGATTCCTTCAGTCTCTTTCCGTTTATTTTATTTCTTCTCTTCAGATTTGATGCTCGTCAGGGTTTTTTTGGACCTGTGAAGACCTCCAGTCCCGGTTTGTCCCAGATCTCAGAAAATTATTATTTTCAGTTTTTATTAAAGCACAAAGGCTCTAAATTTATCTGTTTTACAATGTACAGCCTATTCTGTAGCGCGTCCTTGGGTTTATGAAAGGGGCTGTATAAAGTTGTTATTATTATTACTACAAGAGAGTCGTGGCCAAAAAGGCAGAAATCACAGTAAGAAATGCAGAGAATGAGACGGTTACTGATCCCACACTGAGGAAATTTACTTCTTACAGCAGCTGCAGATAGAACAAAACACAACAGAGAGAAAAGTACACATTACGTAAAAAGTAGAATAGAACTACATATATATATATATATATATATATATATATATATATAAACACTGCACATGGAGCAGCAGGAGGTAAAAGGCACGGTGTGGAAATAAATAAATAAATGTAATTGCACAGGACAAAAATATATTCAGCAGTATCATTTAGAGTAAATAATATATATATGTGTGTAATTGAATGGTACAGGAAATAGCTTTGGTGTTAATATGTGCTATATATATTCTACAGTATGAAGATTAACACAAGTTTTAATAAACTCTCTGAAGGTTTCATTTGACAGGAAGTTTAGCCAAAATGTTTTTAAACGTTACAACATGGTCTTCCTCCAAATTTTCAGTGACTTTCATCCAGTTACATCGTATAAATAAACCACAGCGTCTGAATGGTGAACGCGATCTGGGCTGTGCAGTAGTGAGAGCGATGCATATAAACACACCGCGGGGGTGGGGGGGGGGGGTTATCGGAGAGGAAAAAACAACAGGGAGAGAAACAGCAGCAGGACTGAAGTTTATCGTCCCGACGGGGGAAGTTTTTCCTGGTGAATAACACGGACGTGACATCACGGGGCTCAGCAGACACCAGAGAGAAGACGGGTCATACTGAGAGCGCCTTCTGCCCAAAAACACATTTTACTGCTACATGAGTACTTTTGCTGTGGTACTTTAACTACATTAGCTGATTATACTTTAGTACTGGTAGTATTGGTGTGACCAATCTGACCACAGCATGAGTAGCAATACTGGTAGGGGAAGTAGTAGCAGAATAACCATACTGGTAGTAGCATTGGTAGTAGTAGTACTAGTAGTGGAAGTAGTAGCAATACTGGGAGTAGTAGTGGAAGTAGTAGCAATACTGGGAGTAGTAGTACTAGTAGTGGAAGTAGTAGCAATACTGGTAGTAGCAGTGGAAGTAGTAGCAATACTGGTAGTAGCAGTGGAAGTAGTAGCAATACTGGTAGTAGCATTGGTAGTAGTGGAAGTAGTAGCAATACTGGTAGTAGCATTGGTGGTAGTGGAAGTAGTAGCAATACTGGTAGTAGCATTGGTGGTAGTGGAAGTAGTAGCAATACTGGTGGTAGTGGAAGTAGTAGCAATACTGGTAGTAGTGGAAGTAGTAGCAATACTGGTAGTAGTGGAAGTAGTAGTAATACTGGTAGTAGTGGAAGTAGTAGCAATACTGGTAGTAGTAGTGGAAGTAGTAGCAATACTGGTAGTAGCAGTGGAAGTAGTGGAAGTAGTAGCAATACTGGTAGTAGCAGTGGAAGTAGTAGCAATACTGGTAGTAGCATTGGTAGTAGTGGAAGTAGAAGCAATACTGGTAGTAGCGGTGGAAGTAGTAGCAATACTGGTAGTAGCATTGGTAGTAGTGGAAGTAGAAGCAATACTGGTAGTAACATTGGTAGTAGTGGAAGTAGTAGCAATACTGGTAGTAGCATTGGTAGTAGTGGAAGTAGTAGCAATACTGGTAGTAGCATTGGTAGTAGTGGAAGTAAAAGCAATACTGGTAGTAACATTGGTAGTAGTGGAAGTAGTAGCAATACTGGTAGTAGCATTGGTAGTAGTAGTAGTGGAAGTAGTAGCAATACTGGTAGTAGCAGTGGAAGTAGTAGCAATACTGGTAGTAGCATTGGTAGTAGTAGTAGTGGAAGTAGTAGCAATACTGGTAGTAGCAGTGGAAGTAGTAGCAATACTGGTAGTAGCATTGGCAGTAGTAGTAGTGGAAGTAGTAGCAATACTGGTAGTAGTAGTGGAAGTAGTAGCAATACTGGTAGTAGCAGTGGAAGTAGTGGAAGTAGTAGCAATACTGGTAGTAGCAGTGGAAGTAGTAGCAATACTGGTAGTAGCATTGGTAGTAGTGGAAGTAGTAGCAATACTGGTAGTAGCATTGGTGGTAGTGGAAGTAGTAGCAATACTGGTAGTAGCATTGGTAGTAGTGCAAGTAGTAGCAATACTGGTAGTAGCATTGGTAGTAGCAATACTGGTAGTAGTGGAAGTAGTAGCAATATTGGTAGTAGCATTGGTAGTAGTGGAAGTAGTAGCAATACTGGTAGTAGTGGAAGTAGTAGCAATACTGGTAGTAGTGGAAGTAGTAGCAATACTGGTAGTAGTAGTGGAAGTAGTAGCAATACTGGTAGTAGTAGTGGAAGTAGTAGCAATACTGGTAGTAGTAGTGGAAGTAGTAGCAATACTGGTAGTAGCAGTGGAAGTAGTGGAAGTAGTAGCAATACTGGTAGTAGTAGTGGAAGTAGTAGCAATACTGGTAGTAGCAGTGGAAGTAGTGGAAGTAGTAGCAATACTGGTAGTAGCAGTGGAAGTAGTGGAAGTAGTAGCAATACTGGTAGTAGCATTGGTAGTAGTGGAAGTAGAAGCAATACTGGTAGTAACATTGGTAGTAGTGGAAGTAGTAGCAATACTGGTAGTAGCATTGGTAGTAGTGGAAGTAGTAGCAATACTGGTAGTAGCATTGGTAGTAGTGGAAGTAAAAGCAATACTGGTAGTAACATTGGTAGTAGTGGAAGTAGTAGCAATACTGGTAGTAGCAGTGGAAGTAGTAGCAATACTGGTAGTAGCATTGGTAGTAGTAGTAGTGGAAGTAGTAGCAATACTGGTAGTAGCAGTGGAAGTAGTAGCAATACTGGTAGTAGCAGTGGAAGTAGTGGAAGTAGTAGCAATACTGGTAGTAGCATTGGTAGTAGTGGAAGTAGTAGCAATACTGGTAGTAGCAGTGGAAGTAGTAGCAATACTGGTAGTAGCAGTGGAAGTAGTAGCAATACTGGTAGTAGCATTGGTAGTAGTGGAAGTAGAAGCAATACTGGTAGTAACATTGGTAGTAGTGGAAGTAGTAGCAATACTGGTAGTAGCATTGGTAGTAGTGGAAGTAGTAGCAATACTGGTAGTAGCATTGGTAGTAGTGGAAGTAGAAGCAATACTGGTAGTAGCATTGGTAGTAGTGGAAGTAGAAGCAATACTGGTAGTAGCATTGGTAGTAGTGGAAGTAGTAGCAATACTGGTAGTAGCAGTGGAAGTAGTAGCAATACTGGTAGTAGCATTGGTAGTAGTGGAAGTAGTAGCATTGGTAGTAGTAGCAATACTGGTAGTAGCATTGGTAGTAGTAGCAATACTGGTAGTAGCATTGGTAGTAGTAGCAATACTGGTAGTAGCATTGGTAGTAGTGGAAGTAGTAGCAATACTGGTAGTAGCATTGGTAGTAGTGGAAGTAGTAGCAATACTGGTAGTAGCAGTGGAAGTAGTAGCAATACTGGTAGTAGCAGTGGAAGTAGTAGCAATACTGGTAGTAGCAGTGGAAGTAGTAGCAATACTACTGGTAGTAGCATTGGTAGTAGTGGAAGTAGTAGCAATACTACTGGTAGTAGCATTGGTAGTAGTGGAAGTAGTAGCAATACTGGTAGTAGCATTGGTAGTAGTGGAAGTAGAAGCAATACTGGTAGTAGCATTGGTAGTAGTGGAAGTAGTAGCAATACTGGTAGTAGCATTGGTAGTAGTGGAAGTAGAAGCAATACTGGTAGTAGCATTGGTAGTAGTGGAAGTAGAAGCAATACTGGTAGTAGCATTGGTAGTAGTAGCAATACTGGTAGTAGCATTGGTAGTAGTGGAAGTAGTAGCAATACTGGTAGTAGCATTGGTAGTAGTAGCAATACTGGTAGTAGCAATACTGGTAGTAGCATTGGTAGTAGTGGAAGTAGTAGCAATACTGGTAGTAGCATTGGTAGTAGTGGAAGTAGTAGCAATACTGGTAGTAGCATTGGTAGTAGTAGCAATACTGGTAGTAGCAATACTGGTAGTAGCATTGGTAGTAATGGAAGTAGTAGCAATACTGGTAGTAGCATTGGTAGTAGTAGCAATACTGGTAGTAGCAATACTGGTAGTAGCATTGGTAGTAGTGGAAGTAGTAGCAATACTGGTAGTAGCATTGGTAGTAGTAGCAATACTGGTAGTAGCAATACTGGTAGTAGCAATGGCATCACATTCTCCCACTCACACACACTGATGGAACAGCCATCGGGGGCCATTCAGGGTTCAGTATTTTAACCAAGGACACTTCGACATGCAGCCTGGAGGAGCCGGGGATCGAACCACCGGGAACTAAGGCGCAACCCGCTCTCTCTCCTGAGCCACAGGAAGTCATTCAGCACAGAGAACCTACAGATACTGTAACTGAGGAAGATGGCACCGAGCTTCTCCCATAACACAGCAGCCTGAGTTTTGAAGCCGCTCTGTTGGGCTCAGCTGGCTGCTTTTAATGGAAAATCAGGGCACACACACACACACACACACACGCACGCACACACACGCACACACACGCACGCACGCACACACATGCACACACGCACACACACACACGCGCTCTCTCTCGATTGGTCGTGGTATTCCACATATTTTAGCGGTGTGGTCATCGCTCCAACACACACACACAGTGTTATGAATAATGTGGTCGTTCTTGCCGCTCTGCAGAAAAGATCATTTTAATATCAACGCTTTATTAATTGCAGCCGTGTGTGTGTGTGTGTGTGTGTGTCTGTCAGTGTGTGTGTGAGGTTAAAGCATTAAACCCTGGTTGGATCGTGAAGTATTTTTTGCTGAGGAAGGAATACTGAACTGCTGTGACTTAATGAAAATTGTTAATTTTGCGAACATGAGCGTGCACGTGTTAATGTCTGAGTTTATGTGTGTGAGCGTGCACGTGTTTGTGTGCGCATGCAGCTGGTGTGTGGTACAGTAGACTTTTACAGTAGATATTTAAGTAAGATTATACAGCTTAATTAATCCATCGGTTTGTGTGTGTGTGCGCTATAAGTTAATGAAATGAGCAGACGAGTCATTAAGAAGCATTGATTTTCAATGTTTCAGAAAACTCCACCTCTCGCTCTCTACTTGTGTGTGCGTGTGCGCGTGCATGCTCGTGTGTGTTTGTGGCGTCAGATTATCTCGTGCCGCTCGAGTCGAGTTGACATGTTCGAGACCTCGCCGTCTTTTCAGCGGCGCTGGAGATGAGTTGTGTTGTTCAGACTACACACTGACACACAGTTATATTTTCGTTCCATTAACACCCCACTGTTTACCTGAGACTGGGACCTGCAGGTAGACCAGGTTCCCATCAGCTCCAAATCCATTATGTTGTTTCTCTGACTGCTTTTTGTTGGTAACCATGGAGACCTGTGTTCGCCATGACAACGCCACTCCGCTCTGCGTGTGTGTCTATTTTCCATCTCTTTTTATTTAAAGCTGAGTCTACCCTTTATGGACAGGCTTTGTGTCCTTTGTAGTACTACTGTACTTTTACTGCTACTGGACCTGTTGGTGTAGTACGGACAGCCGTGTAAATACTACCTCCATGCAGTGTTGGCTGTAGTAATACTACTGTCGAGACCAAGACCAGACCTCGTTATATTTTCCTCCCAAATGTAGCTGCAGGTCTCAGTTTACCGTTTCTCCGTTTCTTCTTTAATTAAAACGTCTTCCTACCGCTGCATCATAATTAACACATAATTGAATTCTCTGTTTGCCAATTAGAAAGTGTCAAACTATTTAAATGATGTTTCCTCTCTGCAGTACTGGTACGAGGGCGACGAGGCTGGTGATCTCCCCGTGGATTTCTCTATTGTCTGGGATGGAGATTTCTTCATCGACAAGCCTTCATCTATGAAAGGTAAAAGCTGTTTATCATCAGAAACACAAACAGCTTCACAGGAGCCATAAACCATCCTCACAAAGTGGGACTGCTGTCTTCATTTAATGATAAGATCAATAAAAACATGTATGGACTGTATAATACACATTTTAGTGCACAAAGAATGACTTCTTTAAATTAGAGACACACTTTTCATCACATTGACTGTAATCCCACTGTTAGTCACATTCATCATAATAATATAATAATGAAAATGTTAATACAAACTGCTTTCCAAGAGAAGTTAAAAGTGAAATACAGTGACAGGAAGTGGCGCAGCAGAAGAACAGTACAACATGAATGAAAGAATAAAATTGTGTAAACTCAGATTAGAAGTCAACTTTAGTACAGAAAAAGAATTGAGCTCTACAACAGTTACCATCAGTTATTCGTGGTGGTTTATGGTATTTAGTACCTTATAATCTGGTTTTCAGTGCTTTGTTTTGTGTACAGCAGAAACCCATGAACTGTAAGGTTACTTGTCATTACTCTAAAGGGGAACTTTCAACAAGGAAAACTTTAGATCATTTGAACTGTTGATCTTGTCCGTGTTGCTCAGCGTTGCTGTATAAGTGTGAGGCTCAGCGCTCCAGCTGCGGTCAGTGCCTGAAAGCTCCTGCGGCCTTCGAATGCGGATGGTGCACCGAAACCAGGAAGTGTCTCCTGCGGCAACACTGTCCTACACCTGAACAGAACTGGATGCACCACGGTCGCCACAACCTGCGCTGCAGCCACCCGCGCATCGCCAAGGTAGGGAATTACGCCCACAACCTGGTGTTGTAGTCAAGACCACCCAAACCAAGACCAGGTCATGGCCTGGACCAGAATGTATCGAGACCGAGTCAAGACTGAGACTGAGAAAGGTTAAGACAAAGTCTAGACTAAGACCAAGGAAGGGCAAGACTGAGTCACCAGGAAACGGCGTCCTTATGGCCTCTCAGATGCTTTTACTGTGAAGCATTTGTGCAGATGTAAATCCTGAAAGAGAAAATGCCTGACCAGCTGTGCGGTGATGATGTGGAGGCTGATACACTAATACACATAATAAAGTAAAGTCCTGCTTCTCTCTGTAGTCGCACCTGAACATTAATACCTGATACGTATTGATCTCCGGCTCCTCCCCCACAGATCGACCCTCTGACAGGTCCTCGGGAGGGGGGGACGCGGGTGACGATCGAGGGGGAGAACCTGGGTCTGCAGGTGAAGGAGATCGCTCACGTTCAGGTTGCCGGAGTCCGCTGTAACCCCGTCCCCTCGCAGTACATCAGCGCCGAGAGGTCAGTCTGTGTTAGCGTGTTGGTACGAACACGTGACGGAACGTGTCGGAGGCGTGTGCTGACTCTCTCTCTGTCCGCAGGATCGTGTGCGACATGGCCGAAGCTCTGCTGCCTCACTCTCCGGGCGGTCCGGTCGAGCTCTGCATCGGCGTCTGCAGCGCCGAGTACCGAACCCTCTCCACCCAGACCTACTCCTTCGTGGTGAGTCTACATGCAGCACGAAGAAGGTAGATGTGTGTGTAGGAGAGCAGGGAAACTCCAGGGATTATCGTTTAATCATAAAACGAGCAGGTGAAAGAAACAAACGCATAACTAAGTTTATATACTGATGTGAAGATGCAAGTTAAAGAAGCCCAGGTAGAATAACAGAGAAGGTCTCAGAATTGATTTTATGAAAAGAAATACTCACAGGTGTTAAAGGTTTTCATGTGAACAGGTGATACCTGATCAGCTGCTTCCACTGGTTTCCAGTTGGCTGAATTAAAAGCATCTGGTTGAGACGGGATGTGTCAGCTGCCCCCCAACGGTGGTATACAATGATGTGGATAAATTAAGGAGACCAGGAACTGAAAGCGTGGCACAGCCAGATCATGACACTTCCAAAGTTAACGGCTGTATAATGTGTTTGTAGATATAGTGTGCATACACTCCCCCAACCAAAGTCCATGAAAAAAACATTTTTAGAGTCAAATCTCACTGGAACAGTTTGCTGTCTGTTATTTCTCAAGAATCTACAACAGAAGGTTTTAAGAAGCAGCTGCAGAGGTTCAGGCCTGATTTGTTTTGCAGTCTGGATATTTATTGTTTTGTTTTACCTGTTGATCCATTTTAATGTTTGGTTTGGATTTAACTTTATTGTTGGATGCTACATCCACCCCCCTCCCCTCCAGAGCCCCAGTTTCAGCCGTGTTCGTCCAGAGAAGGGGCCTGTTTCTGGGGGAACCCGACTGACGGTGACGGGTCGACATCTGGACGCCGGCAGCACCGTCACCGTTTACATCGACAAGGAGGAGTGTCTGTTTGTCAAGTCAGTTTGGATCCATAGACGCCAACAAATACGATAAATATTCCGTTTGTGATAAAGAATGATCAGCCAATCGCTGACCTCCTCTGCCCGCCCCTCTCTCCCAGACGGACCAATCGGGAAATAATCTGCATAACTCCCGGCTCCCTAACCGGCTCTGGCCCCGCCTCCATCCGCCTGATGATTGACAGGGCCGAGGTGACGAGCTCGGAGACCAAATACATGTACACAGAGGACCCGACCATCACCGGCATCGAGCCAAACTGGACCATCCTCAAGTAAGTCCTCCAGATCCAAGTCCGCCTGAGGAGTGATCAATAATCACTCAGCGCATCGATCGGTAACCTGAGCGTGTGTGTGTTTGTGTGTGTGCAGCGGCAGTACAGTGATAACAGTGACAGGAACCAACCTGCTGACCATCCAGGAGCCCAAAGTCAGAGCCAAGTACGGAGGAGTGGAAACCAACAACGTAAGAACAGCCTGTAGCTTTACACCAGGGGTTCCCAACATGGGGCCCGGACCCCTCAGGGGTCCCGAGTTAAATCTGAGGGTTCACAAGATGAATCTTTGACCTCATAGATGTCTTTAAACTGTGATGAGTGGTCACGTGACTCTTCAGTGCCGTGACGAGCTGAGACGTGATTCCTGTACTGTGTTGGGAAAAAATTACATTGCGATATGAAGGAATCCAGGCATTTTCACCACATGACTATGTGAAACGAATTAAGCATCCTAGAATTATTGGAATGTTTCTGTAGGAAATAAAAATAAATTGACTGTAAAATGTCTTTATAGTCTGAATACACTTTTTGGGTGCTACCAATCCTTTCTAAAGCTTTTATGCAGTACACATATTTTAAACCAATGAGGAAAATAAAAAGAGCAGCTACACACCAGCCATGGTGGCAATGGTTTTCTCCGGTTCCTCACTTATTTTCAAGTTGTCGTCAACAGCTAACGGGGGCGGGGCCTGCTTTGGTATTTTGATAAACTGATCAAGAAGAATCACGAGCAACAAACTCTGTGTATCCAAAAACCCTTAAATCGGAGTACATTATGTTTCATCAGACTTCTTTTGTAGATTAGTCATGGAAAACGAGAACCGTGCAGGTTTTCCTTTTGTATCAAGCAGCAAAAAAGTTGGTGTTTGAATTAATTTGACTTGCTTGCTTTGTTCTGCGATGTGACTATTGCGCAAGGGCACATTGCGATGTCGATGCTCAAACGATATATTGTGCAGCCCTAGTTCAGATCGTTTAAAAGTTTTATTTTCACCACAAGAACAAGAGAAAGAGCTGAAGAGCTGACCGACCTGTCCTCCGTCTGTCCCTCTAGTTCTGCTCTGTAGTCAACGACAGCACCATGACGTGTCTGGCTCCTGGTTTGGTCTACAGTAAACCCACCCCGCCAGAGGGGGCGCTGCGGCCCGACGAGTTCGGCTTCGTCTTTGACCAGGTAACACACACACACAGTTTCAGAGCACATCACATCATCCCTGGAGGCGGACTTTAACCTGCTTCAGCTAACTCTGACTGTGCACTCAGACCAAATGTACTGTATTCTTTGCCTCACGTTTATCCCGTGAGTTTGACCACTGGACTTGTCGCACAAGTGTTCACACTCAATGCAGTAAAGCGAATAAACACAACCTGCCATTACTACAGCGGGATGAACCCAAAATAACAACAAACGGATCAGAAAATGTTTGAGAACCACTGCCCTGACCTTAAATCAGATCTTTACCCTAAAGGTTTATCAGCTACATTAATAATTGTGTGGAGGGGGGGGGGGTACTGTCACTGTTCACAGAACTTTATTTTGTTAAAAAAAAATAACAAAATACTATTAAATTGAAAGAAATACTGTCTCCTGCCAATTTTAATTTTGTGACTTTGAGTCAGTTCTTCTTCTTTTATATAACGACTTGCTGCTCACTGAAAACAGATTTTCTCCTGGTTAAAGAAAGGTTTAATAAAATACATTTTATCATTTACTTTTGTAGACTTGCATTTTGTCCCCAATAAGAAATCAGAATCCCCGGATTTGACTGTGTAAATACAGTTAGGTCCCCACAACATTAGTGATACCCGACCACATACAGCAGTACAGTAGCTGCAGTGACATCAGAAGAAGTAGATGGAATAAACAGCGGGAATTTAAAGAGCTGCAAACAGTGACGAGAACAGAGCAATAGGATAAGAGAACGCTGTACAGGTGCACACACGGCAATATTAAACATAAAAATGGAGGAAACTTATGAACTAAAACTCGTGAATTAAATGAAAATTGAATCTCGTCACAGATTAGAAACAATTAAAACTTTACTTCCCAGTAGGTTTTTGAAGTAAAAGATTTAGACGTGATAACCCGACAGTGTTTGATGCTGAACCCAGGACGGCTCAGCAGACCCCTGTCAGGTGGTCTGGACCTGGTCTACATCTGAAATATAATTCAGCTGACGGGGAGCTTCTTCTGTTCCGGTCCGCTCTCTGGTCCAGATGAAGCCGACGCTGTGAGGGAGTTTATGCTGTAGTGGTCGTAGTATTTACAGAGTACCAGTATTCAGTCCTGTAGAAACATATTTATGCTGATGTTCTCGTCCCGTCCAGGTCTCCTCTCTGCTGGTCCTGAACTCCACCCCCTTCACACACTACCCCAACCCGACCTTTGATCCCCTGGGGAATTCTGGGATCCTGGAGGTCAAACCAGGGTCACCCATAATCCTCAAGGTGAGAAACAAACACACAGGAAGTCAAGAAGAAGAAGAGACTCGATGCGACCGAGATGTATTTCATGTTCTGCTACTGCATACCGCACTACATTTATTTACTGACGTAATAAATGACAGTGTAATATTATAGGTTAAGAACTGTATTGAGCTCACAGTTTAGAGTGATGAACACATGAACGCATCAGTAAAATAATATCTGTTACATAATGAGTACTTAAATATATTGTGATTCTAATACTTTTGTACTGAAGTATTAATTAGACTGCAGGACTTTTACTTGTAACAGAGTATCTGTGGTATTACTACTACTACAGTAGTACAAGAGTACTCCTTCTGTTCCAGGGTAAGAACCTGATCCCTCCGGCTCCGGGGAACAACCGCCTGAACTACACGGTTCTGATTGGAGAGTCTCCCTGCCTGCTGACCGTGTCAGAGAACCAGCTGCTCTGTGATTCGCCAGATCTCACGGGAGAACAGCGAGTGCTGGTGAGTGATGGGGCCTTGGCCCCGCCCCTTTTTATTTCACCTGTTGCTGATAATTGAACGTGATTGTTGGTGATTGGTTAAAGACTTTTCAGAAGGACTTTAATGGCCGACAAAACATTTTTATCAGTTGATCAGTGAATTAACAAGCAGATTAATTTAAATTAGTCGATCATTTAGGAGGAGAGGGGAGGAAAACAGAGGGGAGGAGGAAGTGCAGCTGCAGGGGGTTATGGGTAATTGGTTTGATGTGAAGATCAGAGGGTGATAAACACACACAGGGTCAAAGTGAAGCCAGACACACTATTGATGCATTATTAAAGCTAGTGATTATTAATCAATACAGAATGTCACTGTAGTGCCTCCTCTGTCTCCCATCAGTTCATCATCATCATCAACTCATCTTCATCATTTATTCATCAGTTTACGAGCCTTCATCTGTTTTATAATCAATATTAATAACTTGTAAAAGGAAACGCTTTAATAAATCATTAATAACTAATACACATAAAACCGTGTGTCTGTGAGACGTCTGTGATCGTCCGAAGAGCTTAAAGCGACAGAACATCTCGATAATGAGACAAAAAGTCATCAAGGAAGAAAAGTTTCAGGTGTGCTGTCAGTCAAGAGGCAGGTGATGGGGGCAGGTGATGGGGGCAGGTGATGGGGGCAGGTGATGGGGGCAGGTGATGGAGGCACATTTGGCAGGTGATGGGGGCAGGTGATGGAGGCACATTTGGCAGGTGATGGGGGCAGGTGATTGGGGCAGGTGATGGAGGCACATTTGGCAGGTGATGGAGGCACATTTGGCAGGTGATGGAGGCAGGTAATGGAGGCACATTTGGCAGGTGATGGAGGCACATTTGGCAGGTGATGGGGGCAGGTGATGGAGGCACATTTGGCAGGTGATGGAGGCAGGTGATGGAGGCACATTTGGCAGGTGATGGAGGCACATTTGGCAGGTGATGGAGGCAGGTAATGGAGGCACATTTGGCAGGTGATGGAGGCACATTTGGCAGGTGATGGGGGCAGGTGATGGAGGCACATTTGGCAGGTGATGGGGGCAGGTGATGGAGGCACATTTGGCAGGTGATGGGGGCAGGTGATGGAGGCACATTGGCAGATGATGGAGGCAGGTGATGGAGGCACATTTGGCAGGTGATGGAGGCACATTTGGCAGGTGATGGGGGCAGGTGATGGAGGCACATTTGGCAGGTGATGGGGGCAGGTGATGGAGGCACATTTGGCAGGTGATGGGGGCAGGTGATGGAGGCACATTTGGCAGGTGATGGGGGCAGGTGATGGAGGCAGGTGATGGAGGCACATTTGGCAGGTGATGGGGGCAGGTGATGGAGGCAGGTGATGGAGGCACATTTGGCAGGTGATCGAGGCACATTTGGCAGGTGATGGGGGCAGGTGATTGGGGCAGGTGATGGAGGCACATTTGGCAGGTGATGGAGGCAGGTGATGGAGGCACATTTGGCAGGTGATGGAGGCACATTTGGCAGGTGATGGAGGCAGGTGATGGAGGCACATTTGGCAGGTGATGGAGGCACATTTGGCAGGTGATGGAGGCAGGTAATGGAGGCACATTTGGCAGGTGATGGGGGCAGGTGATGGAGGCACATTTGGCAGGTGATGGGGGCAGGTGATGGAGGCACATTTGGCAGGTGATGGGGGCAGGTGATGGAGGCACATTGGCAGATGATGGAGGCAGGTGATGGAGGCACATTTGGCAGGTGATGGAGGCAGGTAATGGAGGCACATTTGGCAGGTGATGGAGGCAGGTAATGGAGGCACATTTGGCAGGTGATGGAGGCAGGTAATGGAGGCACATTTGGCAGGTGATGGAGGCACATTTGGCAGGTGATGGGGGCAGGTAATGGAGGCACATTTGGCAGGTGATGGAGGCACATTTGGCAGGTGATGGGGGCAGGTGATGGAGGCACATTTGGCAGGTGATGGGGGCAGGTGATGGAGGCACATTTGGCAGATGATGGAGGCAGGTGATGGAGGCACATTTCGGCAGGTGATGGAGGCACATTGGCAGATGATGGAGGCAGGTGATGGAGGCACATTTTGGCAGGTGATGGAGGCACATTTGGCAGGTGATGGGGGCAGGTGATGGAGGCACATTTGGCAGGTGATGGGGGCAGGTGATGGAGGCACATTTGGCAGATGATGGAGGCACATTTGGCAGGTGATGGAGGCACATTTGGCAGGTGATGGGGGCAGGTGAAGGAGGCACATTTGGCAGGTGATGGAGGCACATTTGGCAGGTGATGGGGGCAGGTGATGGAGGCACATTTGGCAGGTGATGGGGGCAGGTGATGGAGGCACATTTGGCAGATGATGGAGGCACATTTGGCAGGTGATGGAGGCACATTTGGCAGGTGATGGGGGCAGGTGAAGGAGGCACATTTGGCAGGTGATGGAGGCACATTTGGCAGGTGATGGGGGCAGGTGATGGAGGCACATTTGGCAGGTGATGGAGGCACATTTGGCAGGTGATGGGGGCAGGTGATGGAGGCACATTTGGCAGGTGTTGGAGGCAGGAGGTTTCTACCGGGAGCTGAGGTCCCGCTCATTAAAACATTAAACACACTGAATAAAGCCGTTTCATCCCTAATAATAATAATAATACTGTTAGTGTCTTTACAGTTCTGCTGCTATATCTGCAGTGGAAAGCGGGACGGGTCACCAAAGCGAGCTGAGTCGAGCTGGTAGCAGCGGTGGGAACGTGCCAACAGTGTAAATTGAGAGGAAAGAGGCTAGGAACGCTTCATGTTGATTCCAGGGCAGCCCAGCTGTTAACGTCACACTGCTGTTTCTCTCTCTGTAGATCCTAGTCGGCGGTCTGGAGTATTCCCCGGGTACGCTCCATATCTACTCCGACAGCGCCCTGACGCTTCCCGCCATCATCGGCATCGGAGCTGGCGGAGGCGTGTTGCTAATCGCGATCATCGCGGTGCTCATCGCCTACAAGAGGAAGACTCGCGACGCCGACCGGACGCTGAAACGCCTCCAGCTGCAGATGGATAATCTGGAGAGCCGGGTGGCGCTAGAGTGCAAGGAGGGTACGTTGTGTAGCGTGAGGATGTGGTGTTGGTGTCTACTGTTTATAACGAATAACACGATGCTGCTGACAGAGTTTTATTCTTAGTATTCTGTACTGTGTAAATTACTCTTCTACACTTGTCCTCTGCGTGTCTCCGTATTTACTTTGCGTCGACTCCCAGCCTGTTTCCCGCCGCCACCGTCTCTCTGTCCTCCCGTCTTCCTCTCAGTAACAGTTCCACCTCGCCGTCGCTCCGTGCAGAGGAATCTCTGCTGTGGTTCTTCTCCATCGCTGCTCTTCCTTCGTCTCCAGTAGAACTTTCTTCTTCAGCTGCAGAGCAGACAATCTGCTTCCTGATTACACCGGCACGCACACGCTCAGTGTACGTGAACGGTCACAATTTCAGTCGTTTTAATACAGAAGGAGATCGGTTCTGATATGCAGCTACAACGCCGGCGTGGACAGAGCCTGAGAGTTTCAGAGAAATTAAAAAGTTCCTCAGACTCTCATGTCAAAACAAAGATTGTAATCTGTCCAGGTGTTCAGCAGCGACGTTAACCGCCTTTCCTCTTCCTCCCTGCAGCGTTTGCAGAGCTGCAGACGGACATCCAGGAGCTGACCAACGACATGGACGGAGTGAAGATCCCCTTCCTGGAGTACCGGACCTACACCATGAGGGTCATGTTCCCTGGAATAGAAGAACACCCCGTCCTCAAAGAGCTGGACGTACGAACAGCACACTCAGACATCACTTCATTACATTTCTCTACAGAAAACAAACACCAGGAATATTACAGACAGAGCACGAGCTGTGTAGCGAGACAGAACAACCCTCCTCAGTATCTACGCCGTCTGGGCCTCCATGCAGCTTTAATTAAGCGGACGCAGCAGGAAGCTCTGAGCCTCTGTTCTCTGCATCGGCAGCCATGAATTAGATTTTCTCAGATCCTAATAACTAGGTGTGAAAGCAGATCAGTCTCTGGGTGGAAGGAAAAAGTTTCTTTAGTGTGAAGCTGTGTTCTCAGCGGGCCGGTGTCAGCTCCAGAGGTTTTCTTTCTGGTTAATCCACTTATTTCAAGAGGATTTCCTGTTTTTCTGTATATTTGAATTCTGGTTTAGATTTATTAAGGTTTCTTAGAAAATTAGGGTCGGGCAATATGACAGTATAGTGAGGAGGTAAGTGTTCAACTGCTGCCATGATACGTATAGTAACTCACCAAAGTGCATCCACCCCTCACAGTTTAGTAAATATGTGATTCTAGCTATTCATGTGATGACACGGAAGAAATGACCCTTTGCTCCAGTGAAAAGTAGTGAGTGTACAGCTTATAGAACAGTATAAAGTAGTGAGCGTACAGCTTGTATAACAGTGTAAAGTAGTGAGCGTACAGCTTGTATAACAGTGTAAAGTAGTGAGCGTGCAGCTTGTATAACAGTGTAAAGTAGTGAGCGTACAGCTTGTAGAACAGTGTAAAGTAGTGAGCGTGCAGCTTGTATAACAGTGTAAAGTAGTGAGCGTGCAGCTTGTATAACAGTGTAAAGTAGTGAGTGTACAGCTTGTAGAACAGTGTAAAGTAGTGAGCGTGCAGCTTGTAGAACAGTGTAAAGTAGTGAGCGTGCAGCTTGTAGAACAACGTAAAGTAGTGAGCGTGCAGCTTGTAGAACAGTGTAAAGTAGTAGTGAGCGTTCAGCTTGTAGAACAATGTAAAGTAGTAGTGAGCGTGCAGCTTGTAGAACAGTGTAAAGTAGTGAGCGTGCAGCTTGTATAACAGTGTAAAGTAGTGAGCGTGCAGCTTGTAGAACAGTGTAAAGTAGTGAGCGTGCAGCTTGTATAACAGTGTAAAGTAGTGAGTGTACAGCTTGTAGAACAGTGTAAAGTAGTGAGCGTGCAGCTTGTAGAACAGTGTAAAGTAGTGAGCGTGCAGCTTGTAGAACAACGTAAAGTAGTGAGCGTACAGCTTGTAGAACAGTGTAAAGTAGTGAACGTGCAGCTTGTAGAACAATGTAAAGTAGTGAGCGTGCAGCTTGTATAACAGCGTAAAGTAGTGAGCGTACAGCTTGTAGAACAGTGTAAAGTAGTAGTGAGCGTGCAGCTTGTAGAACAGTGTAAAGTAGTAGTGAGCGTGCAGCTTGTAGAACAGTGTAAAGTAGTAGTGAGCGTGCAGCTTGTAGAACAGTGTAAAGTAGTAGTGAGCGTGCAGCTTGTAGAACAGTGTAAAGTAGTAGTGAGCGTGCAGCTTGTAGAACAGTGTAAAGTAGTAGTGAGCGTGCAGCTTGTAGAACAGTGTAAAGTAGTAGTGAGCGTGCAGCTTGTAGAACAGTGTAAAGTAGTAGTGAGCGTGCAGCTTGTAGAACAGTGTAAAGTAGTGAGTGTACAGCTTGTAGAACAGTGTAAAGTAGTGAGCGTGCAGCTTGTAGAACAGTGTAAAGTAGTGAGCGTGCAGCTTGTAGAACAGTGTAAAGTAGTGAGCGTACAGCTTGTAGAACAGTGTAAAGTAGTGAGCGTGCAGCTTGTAGAACAGTGTAAAGTAGTGAGCGTGCAGCTTGTAGAACAGTGTAAAGTAGTGAGCGTGCAGCTTGTAGAACAGTGTAAAGTAGTAGTGAGCGTACAGCTTGTAGAACAGTGTAAAGTAGTGAGCGTGCAGCTTGTAGAACAGTGTAAAGTAGTGAGCGTACAGCTTGTAGAACAGTGTAAAGTAGTGAGCGTACAGCTTGTAGAACAGTGTAAAGTAGTAGTGAGCGTGCAGCTTGTAGAACAGTGTAAAGTAGTAGTGAGCGTGCAGCTTGTAGAACAGTGTAAAGTAGTAGTGAGCGTACAGCTTGTAGAACAGCGTAAAGTAGTGAGTGTACAGCTTGTCTCAGGTGTGAATCGGGAGCAGGTGTGTTAAATTTGGTGTTATCGTGTCAGCTAGGGTTAGCAGCTCCTGTTAGCAGCTAGGGTTAGCAGTTAGCATGGATGTACAGCTATCACTGGAGTACTGTGAATCTGTAGAAAACTTATAAACATGATATTTTAGCAGCCAAACTAAAAGAGGTCACTTCCTGTGTTAAATAGCGGAGGAGTTAAAGTGTGAGTAAATCAAATAAAAATCTATAGTGCTGAAATATTTTGTATGGAAACCAGATAATCAGAATTCTGCTATTTCCAGAAGCTAACTTTAAAACGTACAATTTCAAATAACTTGATTTTAAAGGTCTAGGGTGTAACATTCAGGAGGATCTGTTGACAGAAATATAAGCTATGTTTTCAGTGGTGTATAAAGACCTTCCATAATGAACCGAAGAAGAAGAAGTAATGTTAGGGCTGGGCAATAAAACAATAAATATTATCACAATATAATTTTCTTCAATAACAACAAGTGTTGTTTGATATATCGTCAATAAATGTTTAATTTCATGCATTTGAATCACAAACTAATTAGCACTTTTTTTTTCTATTAAAATATTTATTTTGTTGAGGAAAAGGGACTGAAAAAAGATTTTATCAAAATCGTTTGTTTCACCTCAGATTTGTGAAATAATCTGCTTTGTCATGACCATAAAGAAAAGTTTAAACCAAAATTAACCATCTGTTTTTTTTCCAACTTTCACTCAGCAAAACAAATAATAATAATTCTCAATATTGAAGTGTTTTGTCGTGATAACATTTTGGGCCACATCGCCCTGCTCTAAGTAACGTTAGTCCTAACTGTGCGGTCTGTCTGTGTTTCAGTCTCCAGCTAACGTAGAGAAAGCTCTGCGTCTCTTCAGTCAGTTACTGAACAACAAGATGTTCCTGCTGACCTTCATTCACACTCTGGAGGCTCAGAGGTCGTTCTCCATGAGGGACAGAGGGAACGTCGCTTCGCTGCTGATGGCTGCTCTGCAGGTAGCTGCTAACTGTCTTAATAATGGTTACAATGCTGATCAATAAGGCGTCATTAATACTTACTGATCGTTATTAGATGGCCCGGTGCTAATAACTGTCCAGTAGTTATAGAAAGCTGGCTAATAAAGATTTATAGATGTTATTCCATTGAGCTGTGAATCATTGTCTTGTAGATGTAATACCTGGCTTGACATTGGTCTCTTAGGGTCGGATGGAATATGCTACAGTGGTGTTGAAACAGCTGCTGGCCGACCTGATTGAGAAGAACCTGGAGAACAGAAACCATCCCAAGCTGCTGCTGAGGAGGTCAGTACACCTCCTGTAACCTTTAACCCCGAACCTCACACATCATCTTCATCATCATCATCACCGGCGGCCTGACTGTCCTCTCTGCAGATTCATCCGGTTGGGGGTCTTCAGGTGGCTGACGAGGCAGAGCCACATATCTTGGCTCAGTGTGGGCGGGGCAAAGTGGGGGATTATTTTTTCTTTCTTTCCTTGCGGTCGCTTTTTCTCTGCGATACAGCGGAGCTTCTTTTCATGATGTGCAGGAAGGGTTTCCTTCAGCAACGCCTGTCCAATGCGACGTTCCCCCGGTCGCTTGATGCGATGTTCCTTCAGACGGGTCTTAATGTCCTTGAATCGATTCTTTTCCCGTCAGGGATGTTTCTCCAGCTGGGAGTACAGGATCTGCTTGAGGAGACCTGAGTTAGTCAAGCGAATCACACGGTCAGTCCGTCCAAGTTGGTGTTGCATTATCGTGATGCTGAACACGTTGGCTTCCTCCAAAATGCTGATCCTCAGAATATATAAGATCTTCGGTGGTGATGTCCCAGGGCTGTAGGGGGTCCATGACTCCGCTCCGCACAGCAGGGTGGGGAGGACCTCAGCAATGTAGACCGAGAGTTTTGTTTGGACCTTTAGGTCTCGGTCAGAGACTCTTTTTGAGAATCTGGCATATGCTCCACTGGCACATCTCAGGCGACGGTTGACCTCAGAGTCTGTCAGCTTGAGAGGAGAGGAGGCTGCAGAGGAACTATTATGATGGGCCGGGTCGATGGCTGATTCCCGCAGTACTCCCTCAGACAGTGGTAGCAGTCTGTTTGCGAGGACACGAGACAGGATCGAGATTCTCCTGGAGTTTCCATGTTCAGCGTTATCCCCCTTCTTGAATATGGTCTCTGGTAGAGCATCCCTGAGCTGGGGGAGGTTCTTCTCTTTCCCACAGCTCGAGGAGCAGGGTGTGGATGTGGTGCATGATCTGCCACTACACACCAACACTACTGATCTGACGCAGAAAAATACATGAATAAAGTACCCTGGACTGCACACCTGACCTCTGACCTCTGTGTTCAGGACGGAGTCTGTAGCCGAGAAGATGCTGACAAACTGGTTCACCTTCCTGCTGCATCGGTTCCTCAAGGTAAGCCGCCGCCTTCTTCCTCTTCCTAACTGACCTCGTTAAGCTCTTCCTCTTCCTCAGTCTGACCGTGACCAATCAGATCAGGGCTGCAGTTGATTTATTCATAGGAAATGAAGGGGATTGGTTAAATCCTGCTGCTGATGAGTTTTCAGGATTAAACTGTGGTAATGAAGGGATTCTCTCTGTCTGTCTGTCAGGAGTGTGCAGGCGAGCCTCTCTTCATGTTGTACTGTGCCATAAAGCAGCAGATGGAGAAAGGCCCGATCGACGCCATCACCGGGGAAGCTCGCTACTCTCTGAGTGAAGACAAACTCATCAGACAGCAGATCGACTACAAACAGCTGGTAACACACACAGTTTCAATGCAGACAGACCGCAGATTCCAGTTTCGGGTTATTTCGGATCTGCTCTTATTTTGGTAGTTTGGTCCATCTTGTCAGTAATAACCACAGTGGCTATAACAGAAGTGGGCGGAGCCGCCGTGGCGTCCCCCGCTGGTTTGTGGACTACCATTTCGAAGCTTCCAGTTTGGCATTTTGGCCGTCGCCATCTTCGTTTTTTGGAACCAGACGTGACCGTATTTGGACGAGAGGGTGGAGCTAGCTAGCTTGGTTAGCAAGGTGCATCTGTAACTCAGGTTAGCTGTGATATTAGCTGGGATGCTAATTTTAGCTAGCGACAAACAGGCTTTAAACAAAACTTAATGAAAACTGAGCAGCCGACTCCTTATGAGCTTTTTCAGCGACGCTGGTTAAATTTACACAGAGCAGCGGATATGAGTCGCCTCTATCCTGATTGACAGGCCGCCATGGGAGAGTCAGTCAGCTTGTAGCCCTCACGCTCGTGTAAATCTTAATACATTTGCCTGTAGATGCAAAAGCACCTGGCACGTTACCTCACCTTATCTCTCTCAGGTGTGACTAATGGAAACAACTCATTTTTTATTATTCTATTTATTTTCTCTGTTTGGTTTATAGTCCTTAATGCAGAGAATATATTTTATTAATTTTATGTTATCACAGAGCAAACACACCCCAAAAAGCTATCATGTCTTAAATATGAATGTGAGCATAAAAATAACATGTAACTTGGTAAAGAGTTAAACTTTATACTGATTTTCCGTTAGATGGCAGTGAAGTTGGCATTAAATTGGTGGTATTAAATCTATTTAACTTGGAGAATCCTGTAACAAATAACACCAGACGTTCTTCAGGGCGGCATGAAGTTTCCAATGTGATGTGTCCGTTTGGAACTCGTCCATCAGAGGGTTCAGTGTTCGTCGTGTCAGCTGCTCATTGTTATCGGTTATTGATGAAGCCGAGTGCTTTGAATCACCTGTTGCTCTGTGTGTTTATTATGCAAATGAATGTTTCTGTTTGCATCGTGTGGGATGTAACCCAGCAGCACCCCCCCCTTCTCTCTCAGACTCTGATGTGTATCCCTCCGGAGGGCGAGGCCGGGACGGAGGTGCCGGTGAAGGTGCTGAACTGTGACACGGTGACTCAGGCCAAAGACAAACTGCTGGACGCCGTCTATAAAGGAATCCCGTTCTCTCAGAGACCTCAGGCCGACGACATGGACCTCGGTAACCGCTTACATCACAGACACGTGACTCCATGTTAAAGGATCGGTTATTCACTCCAGCCGCCAGCTTTAAATCCAAACTCACGTCAGAAAAAGATGCAACTGAAATATTTTATGAAATAAAATGAAGCTGCTCAGTGTACACTGAGCGTCGGCGTCCTGCTCGCAGCTCGTTGGTCTCAGATCAGGAGTTCTCTCCATGCTAGCAGCTCTGTGAGAACCCGAAACAGTGGTGGTTTAAGCTAGATGCTAACATGCTAATGTTTAGCAGGTATAATGTTCATCACGTTCACCTTCTTAGTGTAGCGTGTTAGCATGCTAACATTAGCAGTAAACACACCTGATGGGAACGTCAGTACATGTCGACCTGAAGGTGGCGCACCACCAGACACACATTCCCACCCAGAGGGCCGAGCTGCTAGCTAAACCTCTAAAAGCTAAGCTAGCCTTAGCTAGCTCCTCGGTGGAGAGCAGCAGAGAAACTCGCTGACTGTGCGCTTGTGTTTGTGCTGTCAGAGTGGCGTCAGGGCCGACTGACCAGGATCATCCTGCAGGACGAGGACGTGACCACCAAGATAGAGAGCGACTGGAAGAGGCTGAACACACTGGCACACTACCAGGTACGCGCACACACACACACACACACACACACGCACAGGTGTGTGACACCAGGTGAAACGTTTCTCTGTCGGTTAAAAAAGAATATCAAAAGACAGATTGAAGATCTGAGAACGTAGAGCTGGGCGATACGGCCGGAAATGTTATCGCGCTAAACGTGTCTTATCATTGGGTTTCGACATTTATCAGGATAAATGTCATTAATGAATTTCTTTCAGGTTTAAATTCAGATTTTTGCTCCTGAGTGAAAGTTAATGTGGTTTAAACTTTTCTTCCTGCTCAGAACAAACTGTTGAGGATCAGTAAACAAACCTGAGGCCGAACGTTCAGAACTCTTCTGATCTGCTTAGTCTTTTTTCCTCAACAAAATAAATGTCTTGAAGTGCTGATTAGTTCGTGATTCAAATAAATTAAATCAAACATTTATTGAACATTTGTTATTTCGTTATTGAGGAAATTATCAGTGTTTTATTGCCCAGACCTGTGAAAACGTAAACTTTTGGTTTTGATCATTTGAATGGGAGAAGTAAATCCTCCATATTTACAACGTTTCTTTCAAATATTTGTCTTGAAAGTTTTGGAAATTGCCTTGATATTCAAAAATCTCCTCTCAGAGGTTTAATCAGCTCTCTCTGCTTTGCATGCTGGGAAGTCTGAATGAGTCTTAAAGGCGGAGACTGTAACTGTTATTTCTTAGTTTGTTTTTTGCATTTCTGCAACTCTCTATTGTTAAATGTTTGCAGCAGATGCAGACAGCAGCTCAGCGGACTTTCATCGAGTTTTGAAAGCAGCGTTTTAAAATGTCTGCGAGGCTCGTTCAGAAGACACATCTACAAAATGTAAAACCATCACTTAAAAAACAACAAAGCTCACAGAAAATACTGATAAATGAATAAATAAAATGTGGAGGGAAAATGAATGATCAGAAAATGTTACTGTGTTCTTTGGCGGCGAGACGGGATGAATCTGGACCTCAGGACGTGTGAACACCTGGAGCCGGATCCGGTCCAGAGGATCCATGTTTCCTCCTCAGTCATTTAACTTCAGATTAAAAGCTTCTGTCCTGTTAAACGGCGGCGCCGGGAGTTTGAGCCGCCTCGGCCTCATTATCAGTTCCTGCGTGTCCGGGATTGACAGAGTTGGCGGCCTGAATAGTTAATTAGTCGGCTGATTGATGGAGCGTTCAGCTGATTGACTGATGTGTTGCTGTGTGCTGATAGGTAACAGACGGCTCTCTGGTGGCGCTGGTCCAGAAGCAGGTTTCTGCCTACAACATCGCCAACTCCTTCACGTTCACCAGATCGCTGAGCAGATATGGTACAGCGCACACACACACACACACACAGGAGCTCGTATTGATCAGTGATCAGAGAAGGTCACTTTCCTCTCTCTCCTTGTCGCTTCAGAGTCGTTACTTCGGACGTCCAGCAGTCCTGACAGTCTGAGATCCAGAGCTCCGATGATCACCCCGGACCAGGAGACAGGTACTGCAGCACCAACAGTACTACTATAAAAGAGGTGTTGGTTCTGATCCCCAAACTTGACACCTCTATTAAAATGAATGAATTATCTGGATGTTTCTTTTGTGGCTGCACACCTCCACAGTTTGTCCGGTTAGAACAAGTAAGAATGATGTAATGAAACTCTCACACTCTTTGTCCTTGCAACTTCTTTATTGTAGTATGAAAATCTGGTGTGTGTGTGTGTGTGTGTGTGTGTGTTAACTGTAAAGAGAATAAACAGATATAATAAGAGAACAAGTATGAATAATGACAAAGATGAATAACTGAAAAGGCTCGGTTGCAAAGGCTTACTGACCCGTCAGTTAACGGGAGGGAAAAGTCAGACATAAACTACATATCCATCCACCTTCAACCGCTTATCCTGCGTACAGGGTCGCAGGAGCCCGTCCCAGCTGACATCGGGTGAAAGGCGGGGTAGACAAACAACCACTCACATTCACATCTAAGGACAATTAACTTAGTCCACATGTTTTTGGACGGTGGGAGGAAGCCAGAGAGAACATGCAAACTCCACACAGAAAGGCCAGGACGACCAGGGTTTGAACCCATGACCTTCTTGCTGTGAGGTGACAGTGCTAACCTCTGCACCACCGCGCTGCCCTCTAAACTATATATATTGATTATAAACATGAAAACCAACACCGCAATATATATGCAATATGCTCTGAAGTGAGACAGGAACACACAGAAACATCACACGTGATAAATCGAACAAGCTAAATACGCTAAAGCTAAATATATTATATACTACTACTATATAATATATAGTACTACTATATAATATATAGTAGTAGTAGTATTGAGCAGTATGTACTGTGCTGTAATGTGTTGTGTGTTTCCAGGAACTAAACTGTGGCACCTGGTGAAGAACCACGAGCACAGCGATCAGAGAGAAGGAGACCGAGGCAGCAAGATGGTTTCTGAGATCTACCTGACCAGACTGCTGGCCACCAAGGTAACGCTGAAACGCTGCGCCCCCCTCAGCTCGTCAGAATCAGAGTCCGAAAAGCTTTTAGTAGTTCTTACACGTAGGAGGAATTTGTTCTGGAGAAAAGGTGCTACACGTAGACGCACAAAGACAAACATACAGTTGACATAAACAAATGTAGAAACATGTAAATATGGGATCAATTGACAAAAATATAAAATATAGAAGAATAACGATTAACACTTAACGACAAACAAACAAACATTTCCTACCGAAGTGGCGGGCTGATGGACGTTTTTGTGTTTGATTTATTTTCTAATTAGAATATTTAGTCATTTGAATTATCTGTTAGAATATTTAATCCCATGCGTTGGTCCTCCCACCACTAGGGGACGCTGCAGAAGTTTGTGGACGACCTGTTTGAGACGGTGTTTAGCACCGCCCACCGGGGCTCTGCTCTCCCATTGGCTATCAAATACATGTTTGACTTCCTGGATGAGCAGGCCGACAAACGACAGATCAGCGACCCGGATGTTCGGCACACCTGGAAGAGCAACTGGTAAGAGAAAATGAGAGGATGGTGAAGACCTTAATCACGAGACAAAAACAGATTTAACAGATGTTTCTGTGTGTCTGCAGCCTTCCTCTCAGGTTCTGGGTGAACGTCATTAAGAATCCTCAGTTTGTGTTCGACATCCACAAGAGCAGCATCACTGACGCCTGCCTGTCGGTCGTCGCTCAGACCTTCATGGACTCGTGCTCGACGTCTGAACACCGGCTCGGCAAAGACTCTCCGTCCAACAAGCTGCTCTACGCTAAAGACATCCCCAACTACAAGAGCTGGGTGGAGAGGTAGCTAACACGCTAACCTGCTAATAATACACAACTACATGAGCTGGGTAGAGAGGTAGCTAACACGCTAACCTGCTAATAATACACAACTACAAGAGCTGGGTGGAGAGGTAGCTAACACGCTAACCTGCTAATAATACACAACTACAAGAGCTGGGTAGAAAGGTAGCTAACACGCTAACCTGCTAATAATACACAACTACATGAGTTGGGTAGAGAGGTAGCTAACACGCTAAACTGCTAATAATACACAACTACATGAGCTGGGTAGAAAGGTAGCTAACACGCTAACCTGCTAATAATACACAACTACATGAGTTGGGTGGAGAGGTAGCTAACACGCTAACCTGCTAATAATACACAACTGCATGAGTTGGGTAGAGAGGTAGCTAACACGCTAACCTGCTAATAATACACAACTACATGAGCTGGGTAGAAAGGTAGCTAACATGCTAACCTGCTAATAATACACAACTACATGAGTTGGGTAGAGAGGTAGCTAACACGCTAACCAGCTAATAATACACAACGTCAAGAGCTGGGTAGAAAGGTAGCTAACACGCTAACCAGCTAATAATACACAACGATAAAAGCTGGGTGGAGAGGTAGCTAACACGCTAACCAGCTAATAATACACAACGACAAAAGTTGGGTAGAAAGGTAGCTAACACGCTAACCAGCTAATAATACACAACGACAAGAGCTGGGTAGAAAGGTAGCTAACATGCTAACCAGCTAATAATACACAACGACAAGAGCTGGGTAGAAAGGTAGCTAACACGCTAACCAGCTAATAATACACAACGACAAAAGCTGGGTGGAGAGGTAGCTAACACGCTAACCAGCTAATAATACACAACGACAAAAGCTGGGTAGAGAGGTAGCTAACATGCTAACCAGCTAATAATACACAACTACATGAGCTGGGTAGAAAGGTAGCTAACACGCTAAGCAGCTAATAATACACAACGACAAGAGCTGGGTAGAAAGGTAGCTAACACGCTAACCAGCTAATAATACACAACGACAAGAGCTGGGTAGAAAGGTAGCTAACACGCTAACCTGCTAATAATACACAACTATATGAGTTGGGTGGAGAGGTAGCTAACACGCTAACCAGTTAATCATTCACAACGACAAGAGCCTGGAGTGTGGCGAGGTAGCTAACATGCTAGTGAGTTACTATATGTCGTTATCAAGCCAGTAGCTTACCCCAAGTTATTCTTTAAAGGTGTCTTAGAATGGAAAACTTTGGCATGGTTGAATAAAAAGAATTCAGGACATGAAGCTACAGTAACTACTAGCTGCTGCAGGAGCTAAAACTGTGTGTTCAGACAGAGGATGAAGCGACGGACAGAATTAGAAAAATAATGGGGTTTTTTAAACATTAAAACATTTTCTAGTAGAAACCCTAAATACAAGTATGAACCTTCAACCATCACTGTAATCTACCCCAACAAACCTCTAGTTAACATAAAGTGAAATAAACTATAAAGTTATCAGAGAGGCGCCTTAATGTTACAAGTAAACTCCGTCAATCAAGTGGTGAGACGGTTACTGAATGTAAATAATGGCACACTGTAATGTAATTAGTGTTGACGATTAATAAGGCGATCGCCTGTTGGGGCAAAAGCAAAACAATTACACAATTAGCACAGGAGACTTAATTATCTGGGTAAATTAATGTTAAATTAACACATTAGCTTGTTGATACAACTGTGTGTGTGTTTGTGTGTGTGTGTTTCCTGCAGGTACTACAGGGATATTGCAAAGATGCCCAGCATCAGTGATCAGGACATGGACGCCTACCTGGTGGAGCAGTCCCGTCTCCATGGCAACGAGTTCAACACACTGAGCGCCCTCAGCGAGCTCTACTTCTACATCAACAAGTACAAGGAAGAGGTGAGAGGGGTGGCATCTCTTGACGCGTTGCCGTGTTGTTGACGTCCTACACGTAGGAACCCTGCAGACAACATGGTTGATGGTTAGAAACGTGGTGTGAAATCACGTATTGCATAGACAATCCAACTCATCTTTGTAGTGACGTCCACATTGTTTCCACACTGACTTAAAAGCATATGAACACACCGAAGAGGTCGGGACACTGGACCATCTGAGGAGCACGTGAGTGCACAGTGTGTCCTCGCACCTATGAGTGAAAGATCACAGCGGCTGCAGTCGGCACAGTGGGAAAATTATGTATGGTAGTGATTGCATCCGTTTGGTCCATCCAACACTTCCAGTGCAATAAATCTGGTCAGATTGCTGTGAACTTTGACGGATCCAAGACTAACAGCCACGCTAGTACTGGACAAATAGGAATCTAGGCTAGATGAGGGTGCTAGATGAAACATAAAGGGCTCACAACAGTTCAGAAAATGACCACAAAATGTCAGAATAGTCCGTCCAATAGTTGCGGAGACGTCCGTCCGTTTTTCACCACCTTGTCATGACGTTGCAGTGGTAGCAGACCAAGTAAAGCAGCCTTCTCCCTAGCAACATCCTCCTGCTGGGTCCAAAGCATTTCCATGCCAGATGGGATATGTAACCCCATGGTCTCCTCCCGGCTGGACATGCCTAGAGCCATCAGATGACCAAACCACCCTAACTGAATCCTTTCAACATGACTGGCTTCTACCTGCAGAGGAAACTTGTGTCAGTGACATCTGTGAGCTCATTTATTTGGTCAAAATCCAAAGCTGATCTAGAGCTTTGCCTCCAGATTTGCAGGGTTTGGATCTCATGTTGATCTTACCCTAATTCACGACTCTGGCATGTTTGAACTCCTTTACTTGGGGCAGTGTCTCACTGAAATGAAGAGAGCTGTCCACCGTTTTCCGGCAGAACACCGTGGCCTCAGACTTGGAGGTGCTGATACTCATCCCTGCAAACTGCTGAGACATTTTTTACAGAGCCAAAACCGTCAACCTCACAGTGCCTCTCAATGAAAAGTTAGGGGATCACTGAAGTCGTTCGGATTCATCCATAACAGACCGTGAATTTCTGTAGAGCACATCGTGACAATCCATTCGATCTTATTTAGATATATCACTCTTGACCAAAGTGTTTGAGTGACCGACAAACATTGCCACCCGTGGAACCAGAAAACTAGATTAAAGGTTCCAGACCACATTCATGCTTCATCAGGGATGATTCAGATGTGGACACATCATTCCATGTTGCACCGCTCTCAGAACAAACATGACTCTTTTCTTGACTGATAAACATGTTGATAGTTTTGTGAAACATCTTCTAGTGGCCTTTTCCTGTTTAAATCAATGGGATTATTTCAGTTCAAAACGGAACAGACAGCAGGAGCTTCTGATATGGAGAGAACCAAGTGTTTACACTGTTCATCAGTAATATTGGACACATCATTCAAATTAAGTTAGACCCTTATTTTCTCTGTAGGTGCTGGTACAGTCTTTTATGTCTTTCCCATGTCTCTGCAGATCCTGACGGCGTTGGACCGGGACGGGTATTGTCGCAAACACAAACTGAGGCACAAACTGGAGCAAGCCATCAACCTGATGTCTGGGAGCAGCTGAGAGGAGGAGAAGGACTGATGGACCGATGGATGGATGAGGGGATGTGGAAGAAGAATGGGGGAGGAGGAAGTGAGGGCGTTTTATTTTTCTGAACTGTTTGAACAGTCAGCTGAACTGCTCAGTGTTGGACCGAACTGACAGCCACAGCTCCGGCTCTTTAGCAATCAATCCATCAGCAATTTATTTGTCAACTGATCGATTGATTGATTTGAAGACTGATTAACTGGCTAGCTGGGGCCCCAACTACCTCCGTTCGGTGGATTTTTGGGGCAGAAAATCAGTTTCCAAACCGATTTGGATACATTTACAACATGACTTCAACGTGGAATGGAGTCATTTTGAGGCAAAAAATGAACCTTCTTGATGCATCTGTCGGTTTGGATTTGGATTTAAATTCACTGCAGTTGTAAGCAGGGATCGAAGCAAGCGGGCGTGGCTGTGGAAAAACCTGGAAACGAGGCTAAAGACTGAGTTATGTTTAACCACACGATGGATGTGAAATGAGGACTAATCGACCTGACTTCAGGATTCACAGCCTGGAACTGTCTGCACGCTGGGTCGAAGAGTAAAAGGTCAAGTCACGTTTCCGTCAAGGCTGCTGACTTCACCTTGTTCTGGTCTGAAGGATCAAGAAACTAAGATGATGGTCAGAAGGTCACAGTAAGATCGCATCAGGCTCAACCTTTGGAGCCTCTTTGTAGTCTGGATGAATCCGGGCTGAATAATAAAAGGTTGAGTCGAAGCTTACCGCAGAAGGTCAAAGCCTCTGCACTGATGCGGTTAGTTTGGACCATTTACCCTCACCTTGAATCCTTTGCCTTGTATGGAAGGATCTGAATTCATCGTAAGAAGATCAGGTCAAGCTTTAAGAAGGGAAGCGTCAAAGTCAAGTCCTCATTTGGAACATCTGACCCAACCTTGAACCTGTTTGCAAAAGATTCAGGAGGTCGTTTAAAGCTTTAACGAAGGAGAAGGAAGCAAATAAACTGAAGTTTCACAAACTGATGACTGAAATGACTGCTTAGTCTCGAAAGAAGAGGAATCCATCTTTGGAGTTCAGGAAACGAGGACTGTATTAGCTAAGAGAATTTGACTTGACCTTGGACTGTTCGGCCAAGCCTCGTCAGGATCTAGAGGTTTCGAAGATGCTGTTTTAAATAACCACTCAATGTTTTTTTCTCTGGACAATCACTCTGTACCACAGCACACTGAGCCCGATGCCTACCGACCGACCAGTACCTGTGTCCATGAACCCGTCCTCTTCTCCTGTCATCGTCTTTTCCTTTCCTTCCACCCTCAACTCCTCAGAATTTCACCTCCTACTTTGCTTTACCTGGTTCTTCATTTCGTCCCCTTCTCTATCTTCCTCTCTCCTTTCCATCCACATCCGTTTCCTCTTCCATCCCACTTTTTATTCCTCCTCCCCCTCGACCCTGCATCTTCATTGGTCAGTCATGCTGGCCTCTGGCCATCCTATTGGCCAGGAAGACTCTTTAGTAATGTACTGCCCGACCAATCAAGACTGTGGAATTCGCCAGAATCGTGAATAATTAACAGAAATTAATCCAGAATTACATTTTGAATACATTCCAGCACAGGCACACAGGCAAGGTCTGTAAACTAGCAGGTTGACCCACTAATGTTTCGGACGTGAAGAACTTCCGAAAGTGGCCTGACCGGCAATTTCAGGACCAGAACAACCTGGAAAATGGGGTTCTGGGGTTATTGTCGGACCTTGCACATACACCCACAATACAGCCATGCTTTACAGCGCCATGCTAACCGTGCCCAGGGGGAAATACTGTGCAGAGCTACAAGCCCAGTGCCATGTAAAGACCGGACCGGCTCACGTCAGAACTGGACCGGACTTGGACCAAACCCGGATAAAAAACAACCTGGAATGGAGTTTTAACCGGACTCGAGAACTTTTAAGACTTGTGGCCATAATTGTAAACAACAAAAAAAGAAAGATGATAATAATAATAATAATAATGATGATGATAAAGTATAAAAGTAAAAAAAGAAAGAAAAAAGAAATATTGAAATGTTAACGTGTAATAAGAACTTTGTGGATTTGACAGTTTGGATTTTAAGGAGCTGAACTTGTATAAAGCTGAACATTATGCTACTTCAGAGTGTGGAGAAAGAGAGAGAGCCAGGAGACGGGGCGACCGATCAGACCGAGACCCGTCCTCACGCCATCGGACAGCACCAAACAGAACCGGATCCAACTGGATTTAACCGGACTGAACGAGTCTGTTGTGTTTGGAACCTGAAGGAGATGAACTGAATCTCAGCTCTGAACATCGAAGGTGCAAAAACAAACTGGACTCTGTGGTACTTTTTTGCCAAACTGTTTGTTTGAACATGAGTGTAGTGATCGGACGGATGGTGGCCTGGAGGGTTTGGGAGGCGTTTGGAGGGGTTCGATTGTTGCATGTGTAGCTTCGGATGGAGTCTTTGTTTTGATGAGCTCCTGTTTGCTCTAAAGAAGAATGAGGCCTCTTTCACACTGCTGGTTCACTCTCAATTCTTCAGCTGCAGACGGAGGAATAGAACCACCTGCATGGTCCGCCTGACCTGCTGAGTTCAGACCAACTGTAACTCAAAAAATGAACCCAGTGTGAAACGTTCTTCTTCTCTGTGTGAATGATGGTTAAACGTTGGATGGAGGACTTTCCAACATGGCAACGCCGCCCCCCTCGTGCCCCCACACACCTCTTTCTCTGTGGTAAAACATTTTCACTTTGCACACCTGGATCAGAGATCTTGTTCAGATTTTAAAAATGAAAGTTCAACAACGATATTTGACCTTTTGAAAACACACAGTCCCCTCAGGTTTTTACATGTTCAACCTGAAAGGCCTTCTCTTTGACTTTATGTCCTGCTACATATTAAAAACAAACAATAAAACAATCTGGATCTGTAGGGAGTGCAAACTGAAACACAGCTTACAAACACTGGCTGCTTTACCGTCCGTATGCATGGATTACTAATCCATATGTGTTTCTACAACAATAACTTATTTAGCACATGACCTGCAGGGGGCGCTGTAGAAACGTAAGCTGGAAACCATCTCTGGTCGTTGGTGTGTTGCGTGAAAATGTTCCACCACAGCTGAGGCGTCTCTCTTGGCTCTCTGCGACGCCATAAAGCTAAAAGCACCTTTTCTTTTTCTTGCTGTTGTTTCACTGTCGTTTGAATCTTTGGGGCCAAACGGACCCGGAGGAGGAGGAGGAGGAGGAGGAGGAGGAGGAGGAGGAGGAGGAAGGGTCCTGATAAGACTGCCTTTTAGATGATTAATTATAGAACAGGGAGGGAAGCCACTACCATACCAGCACCACTGTTCATCCAACCAGTGTGTGTGTTATCCTGCCGCTGCAGTGGAAACTCAGCCGTTAAATCGCTGATCGTATCTGCAGCTCAATTAAAAATCTTTTTCCTTACAGTCGCACCGTGTAAATCGGCCGATCGGTATCTTCACTGCTTCTGAAATCTCTGATCAGATCTTTGTTCTTCCTTTTTAAAAAAAAAAAAAATCATGATGACCCTTTAAACTCAAAGTCATCACAGGCGACAAATCCAGTAAAATTCAGCGTCATTAATTGCGTCCTCGTCGCCTTTCTGTCGACGAGACGAGAGGGGAGTTTAGAGGAGGAGAGGAGTCGGCATGCTGAAAGGTGAGGAGAATCCCAGGAGGAGAATGTAAAGCAAGGGGAAGGGATGATGCGTAGACAATGTAGAGGAGGAAGGAACGCCAGCTGCATGCTGAAAAGTGAGGAAGAGGAGAAGTTACTATTCGATTGCAGAGGAGGAGGCTCTGTTATACCAAAGGGTGAAGAAGAGGAGGAAAGGCTGATGTTCTGCAAACGTAAAAAGGAGAACACAGGAGGATCAGGATGAAAAGAGGAGGTCAGATTCTGTGTTAGCATGCTAGAGGAGGAGGAATGGAAGGAGATGCTGTTGGAATACTGAGAGGAGGAGAGAGAGGGAGAATACTGATCAGGGCGACGGAGGCAGCGTCATCCATCAAAGGATGGAGGGAGGAGAAATGGAGTAAAACCTAGATCTCCTCCTGATCCAGGACTTGTCACGGTTACATTTGTCTTTTGTTCTACATGAACGTCACAACCCTCCTCAGGAGTCAGAGAGGAGGTCTCAGAGAGGGGAGGAGTCAGGGGGGAGGTCTCAGAGAGGGGAGGAGTCAGGGGGGAGGTCTCAGAGAGGGGAGGAGTCAGGGGGGAGGTCTCAGAGAGGGGAGGAGTCAGAGAGGAGGTCTCAGAGGGGAGGAGTTAGAGGGGAGGACTCAGAGGGAGGAGGTGTCAGAGAGGGGAGGAGTCAGAGAGGAGGTCTCAGAGGGGAGGTCTCAGAGAGGGGAGGAGTCAGGGGGGAGGTCTCAGAGAGGGGAGGAGTCAGGGGGGAGGTCTCAGAGAGGGGAGGTCTCAGAGAGGGGAGGAGTCAGGGGGGGAGGTCTCAGAGAGGGGAGGAGTCAGAGAGGGGAGGTCTCAGAGGGGAGGTCTCAGAGAGGGGAGGAGTCAGAGGGGAGGTCTCAGAGAGGGGAGGAGTCAGAGGGGAGGACTCAGAGGGAGGAGGTGTCAGAGAGGGGAGGAGTCAGAGAGGAGGTCTCGGAGGGGAGGAGTTAGAGGGGAGGACTCGGAGGGAGGAGGTGTCAGAGGGGCGGAGTCAGAGAGGAGGTCTCGGAGGGGAGGAGTCAGAGAGGAGGACTCGGAGGGAGGAGGTGTCAGAGGGGCGGAGTCAGAGAGGAGGTCTCGGAGGGGAGGAGTCAGAGAGGAGGACTCGGAGGGAGGAGGAGTCAGAGAGGGGCGGAGTCAGAGAGGGGAGGACAGGGTGGTTGGACAGGTCGATAAAAATGTCTTTCTCAGCCTGAAGCCGAACAAACTTTCATCTCAAGAGGCGGCACGTCAGAAAACAAACCTGGATTATTCTGGAGGCCAAAGACAAATCAGTTTGAACGACTCTGATCAACATTTTCCCGCTTTGCTTTATTTGTATCAAAAAACTCAGGAATCGTTTGGAGAAAGATTCAACATGCCGTTAATCTCCAGCGGCGGCACAAAGCTGTTTTCGACTTTCCTTCTGTAACACAGTGTTTTCAAAATGTTCTCTCTCCTGGACGGTCCCGTGTTAGACCAGATCCAGGACTATATTAGACCTGGATCAGGACCAATAGAGAGCTTGAGGAGAGAAAATGGAAACCTCAATGATACAGTTTAAATTCGGCCGAGACAAGTCGATCGATGTTTGGATGGTTTCCACTGTGGTGGCGAGCACACACACTTTAACACACACTCTCATTTTAACACACACACACAGAGCTGGGAGGAGGTAACTGAGACTGAAGGGGTTGGTGGGAGGGCCGGGTCTAATTCCTGGAACAGAAACAAAACAAACAGGGATTGATACCTCGTTTTAGATGTCAGTCCATCTGTCCACACACACACACACACACACACACTGCTCAGAGTTTTAACATTCTCCGGCCGTGAGATATTTATTGATTATTTTGAATTTTCTTTCTTTTAATTTATTTTTTACGGTGAGTTTTATTTATTGTTGGGAGGATGTACACAATTTTATGAGTTTGTACGGCATTAAAGCGAGAGAAGAGCTCAACATCATACTTTACTGCACACACACACACATTTTAACACACATGTAATTACACATTCATGTTTCCATGTTCAGGCTGGGAAACGACCCCCGGCTGTCCTGTTGTACCAAAGTGTCATTTTAAATCCTGAGTTTTCGGCCCTTTTGCTCAAAGCTTTTATACACTGTCAGCAATCAGAGGAGGTAAAGAACCTCCCGTTTTCTTTTCGTATTGATCAGATCTTGATCAGAATAGTAAAACCTTTCATTTGAGCTGTAATCTCCCAGAGTTAGAGTGGGAGTTGAGGTGCCGGTTGGTCGTTTACCATCCTGTCTGTTTTCACATCCGTCCGTTTGTACGATACCTGAGGAGTCGGCAGACGGATCGATCGATTTGACTGATTAGAATCATCCATCAGAATCACCTCACACAACAAACAGTCTGAGGAGTTGTTGTCGTTCGACTCTTCGAACTCTTCGTCCAGACGATGTTTCCAGGAGTTGATAAGCAGAGAGGGGAGCAGGGACAGGAAGCAGCAGGGAAACACTGATCTCCTATTGGAAATCAATGAGATAATCAATGAGAGATAATCTCTATTGTTATAAAGTGGAATATTTTTAATCCCCCTAGAAATAAATGCAAGTTGATTTTATGTGATCATAGAAATACTTTTAATTTTGGATTTTTAGGAATCTCCCATTTCAAACCAATGGATCTGTTGATTCCCCAGATTAGGGATTATTGGTGTTAAATGTAATTTTTCAAAAAAAAAGGAAGTTGTGTATTATTTAGCATTTTTAGGGATCTCTCACCAATGGCAGCTCCATAAATGCCCCTTTGTTAACAATTTGAGAAGTGTGCAACTTCCTTTTATAATCAATGTCAGCTTCAGACACAGTTCATAGTGCTCTCCCACTGGAACTCCATCCATCTCCCATTGATGTCCAGTGACACATTAGAAATATATGTTATACCAGTGGCGGACCCAGTGGTAGCTCCATGAAGGGCCCTACATGTACGACCATTCAGAACCAGCGGGACCCCCATTCAAATCAGGCTTGTACTGGTCTCACATTGGAATCTATGGGATTTGACTGACCCCCCATAAGCCCCTCCCACCCCTGCAGACTCCTGATACAGTTGGTTGACGGACAGACGACTTGGGGCAACAGCCAATCCCAGCGAGCTTCATTGTACCATAGCAACAGCAGAATCACTGGACTCCCCGCTGAGCTTGAACGGGGAGTCGGATGTCTTTATTGTACCATAATACGATTATTATTACTACGATTATAATTACTATTATTATGAGCCGGTGCTTCTCAGCTGTTGCGGGATCCAGATCCTCCACCTTCAAATATCTGTAAGCACTTTTCTGAACAAAGTCCTGGATTTCAAACACAACGCCAACAAAACTCTCAGATGTCGCCAAGTTTGGGTTTCTGAGCCGCCGGTCGAGAAGCACCGCTCACACTGGATCTTGTGTCTTAGTTCAGGATGGGATTGTTCATTCAGGCGGCGCTTCAGGTTCTCCAGGTGTCGGATCGCGAGGCTCTGATGTCACAAACAGATGTCATGTAGTTCAGTCCAGACACTGTGAGGGTGAATATTTAACGTAATTGTTCCGTAGAGCGTCTACGAACCAGAAGGACTCGGAGAGATCCTTCAGATTCCTCCAGCATCTCTGAGGGTTCAAACTTTTGGACCCAATCAGAAGCGGGCCCATGGAAAACCTGTCCAGCCTAACGTGCATAAATTCATTTTCAATAGGTAGAGACTACACTGATCTGATAAGACCCGGGGATAACTGGACTTGATCAGTGTGACTCAGGTATTAGACACATTGACAGACTCACCTGAGATCGATTACACTGAATATATGTAATTAAGAACCCAGCTCACGTCAGCTCCCAGGTTGGGTCTCAAATACTAGGAACCGAAGACAGACCTCTAGTTTGATTTTTCTGTTTCTAAAGAGACAAATGTTTGACTGATCCTCCATGTTTATAGTTCACAAGATTCACCACCGCAGTCCTGCCGTAGAACGCGTTGAAGTATTTTGAAATACGGAAAGTTCTGAAATCTGAGTAAACAATGAACCCAGACCAGAGTTCTGTTCCTTGTCGCTGAGTTGGGAACAAAAGCTGCTATCTATTCTGACGCCACAGCGCTTAGACCCTCCCGGTCCACTAATGAAGCCTCGCGATCGGCCTCCCGCTGCACCTCGGCGCCGCCGCCGTTCATTCACTCTGCCTGGAAAAACTGTTTTATTTTTCACTGCAAACGCAGAAACACACGTCGCCTTGATGCAGTGCTTTCCAGGATGTAGTCAGGGCCCATTTTTTGATACCATTTGCCATTGCCTTGTTTTTATTTTTTTATTTTTGCTGAGTTCAAATGTAATGATGATGATGATGATGATGAATCTTCTTCATGTAATAGCCTGTGTCTGTTTTTATACCATTGCCATTGCCTTCTGCTGAGTTTGTATATTTGTGTGATTTCACTAAAGTGTAATGGAAAAGTTGGAAGTTGTTTGTGTTTCTTCTGCTTTGTTTATTGCTGTTAGCTGAGAAAGAAAAATGTAGAATGTAAGAGGATTAAAAATCACAACAACCAAGTATTTTCCAAAGTTACATACTGAGTGTTGACCGGCCAACGCCTCGAACATCAGATGTTCTGCTCGTTTAGAAGGTGACTTTAAGTTTGGCGTCCCGCTGCGCCAACTTCAGCCATCAAATGCTGGCAAGGGTACAGACTAATTAATGGAGAACAATGATCCAGGTTTTGCTGTGCTTATCAGCAGCTGCAACAAAAGAGCCGTTATCAGCAGGTTTTCATATCACAAAATACAGCTGATTAAATCCACCAGAGAGAGAGAGACGGACCAACGGGTGGAGGACAGAATGAGAGACGGAGCTCATGAGTTAAATAATTTCATGGGATTTTAAAGGTCAGCTTTCAGAAACAGAGTCACCGAAAAGACGATCAGACTTTTCTGACCATCAGTTTACGGTTTGAAGCCGGTATAAACTTGATGTTGTGTCTTAATCCCTGTTGCTGAAACTGCACCTTTAGCCTAAACCTGAGCTGTGCAGAAATCGGTTCTGTTACAGTATCTGTGGCCCTGGGCTGAGTGACAAGACTTGGCCTGAATTACACTGAACATAATTATAAACACAAAACTTTTGTTTTTGCCCCCATTCACCATGAGCTGAACTCAAAGAGGCAGGTTCCAGTTTGGGTTCAGGAGGCAGACACCATCTCCACATTTAAGAGTAGGCTTAAGACTTTCCTCTTTGATAAAGCTTATAGTTAGGGCTGGCTCAGGTGAGTCCTGAACCATCCCTTAGTTATGCTGCTATAGGCCTAGACTGCCGGGGGATTTCCCATGATGCACTGAGCTCCTCTCTCCTCTACTTTCTCTCCCTCTGTATGCAACCTCATCCCATTATTGCATGTTACTAACACAACTTCTCCCCTTTCCGGTAGTCTTGTGCTTTCTCGTCCCTCTCCTCTCTCCTCCTATCACTTCCTGCAGGTTTTCTGGCTCTGGAGCTGTGGAGTCTGGATCT